CTCCAGGACGGGCCCGTGTTCCTCCCTAGCCTCCTCACTGTCCGACTCTGCTGCCAGCTCTGCAGGCTGCTGGCGGACCACAACACACTCATATGTCAAAGAAATTGGGAATCATGTTCAGCTTTAAGGAAGCTTTTATTTTTCACATTGAATATATTAGAAATATACAGGGTATGTCTCTGTGTTATTGAATTATGATAGCAAAGTTTGAAGTTTGTCCATGGTTTTGATAATAGTAAATCATGTATGGATTTTGATTATTTTTATATGAACTGTGTCCTTATGTATATAGAAGTATAACCACCTATACTTCTTGGAAGGAAGTTCGACAGCCTGGGGCTCAGATGCTGTTCTTATCCATTCATCTAATCCATAGAAGAGGGCCAGTAATCCCTCTGCTATATGAATATAGCAGATTAGTGGAGAAATCTGATTCTAGTACTGTTGTTTCAACTTGCCCACCTGACAGACTACTGGCATGAAATATGAAATACATGTGTTTCAGGTATCCTCAGCATATCTGGAATTGTCAATATTTCACTCACCAATTTTAAATCCAATGTCACAGTCTTTTCAGCAGTTCCAAGAAGGCTCTACACCCATTTGCACTATTCAAGTGGCCCTGAGGGCACAAATAAACCTCAAATTGGCCTCAATGAAGGAAAAAACAAAATCCAGTTGCCTTTTGAAAAAAGCACCTTTGGGACAACCATGACCTGGGAGACTGAGAATCTTCATGGACACCAACTGTAATGCTTTTTGTAAATATAATGGCTTCTTCATTATTTGTATGATTTTATAATCCACAGCAGAAGTTCTGATGCTCCTCTCATCATTTCATTGATTCCCAGAATATTAACATTCAGTCTTGACATTTCTGCATTGACAACATCAAAATTGCCTTGATTCATGGTTTTGGCATTCTCTGTACCAACATTATACACATCTGGTTTCATTAGATATGTATCTTTCAGCTTTAATCCAGCCACACCATAAAATCCACTGATGTTTATAATTGTCCTTTCTCTTTTCCTGTACCTTGTTGGATGCCTTTTGACCTGAGTGGCTCATCTTCTAGTGCAAGGCATTGTTTTGGTTGGTTTTCTTGGCACAATATTGGAATAGTGTGTGATCTTATTCTCTGGTAGATTGTATGCTGCCAGATCCTTTATGATCAACTACAAGCAGGAATGAGCCATCTTGGAGTGTACATTCTTGATGACAGTTCAGACCATCACTGTAGTGTGCATCACCTCTGCAAAGTAGACATCGAATAAAAGGGGAGGCCAAAATATTAAAAGTATTACCATCTCATCCTGCTAGGACAAGCCCTACTCATGCCAGCAGAAAGGACCTACTAAAAATCCCATTGGTCAAAAACCTATTGGGGTCCAGAAACAGAGTGTTCTCTGTTCCAGTGGCCCTTTGGAACATTCTACCCTCTAAGGTAAGATCTCTCCCTACTCTCCTATTCTTCTGCAGGAGCTGAAGACCTGGCTCTGCCAGTTGATTTCCAGCATGGTGGAATTCCATGCTGGAGGTGGCTGCTGGATTGATGGCAAACTCCACTCTATCCCTCTTGCTCTTTGTTCTCCATCCATCCATATTTTTGTTATTATATTGATGCATTCTCATTGTCCTTTTTCATTTTATTGTTCTATTTTACTTCTGTATTTATACCCTTTCATGTCTTCCATTTTATTGTTGTAAGTCGCCTAGAGTAGCCCCTTAGAGAGACAGGCAGCAAATAAATTTAACAATAAATAAATAAAAATTAAACTATTTTTGTTCAGATGTTTCCAACCAAAAAGGTATACATTCCAACAGGAAATAGTGAAGAGCAGAATGAAAGGGCAATACAGTATTAAAACCTGAGAGGGATAGAAATATGGTCAGGAAGCCCCCTTACTTTAAATGAATGTATAACTCCATGGTTAGATGTATCATTGATTAGCTGGCTAGTTAATTGCGGGCTGGACAGCATGACACTTATGTGACCATAAAACTGGCTCAGCAATCCCACTTAAAGGTCTCATCAGTAGTTTATCATCAAGCCAGAGATAAATATCAAGAGGATTGCTATAATAATCTGTTCTAGACCTGCTACTCTTCAAAGTTTTTATTAACAACTTGGATCAAGATGTGGAGGGAATATCAAATTTGTAGATAGCACAAAGTTGGCTAGGATAGCCCAGAAAACAAAATTTAAAATGATCTTAAATTAGAGAAATGAATTGAAAGTAATAGAATGAATTTTAAGATGGGGAAGTACAGTGTTTTTCATTTTGGAAACAAAATCACAAGTACAGAATGGGGATTACCTGTCTTATTAATAATGCTTGCGAAAAACATCCTGGAATTGTACCATAATACAAACGGAATATGAATCAGCAGCATATTATGGCTGAAGAACAGGAAAACGTAATTTTAGGCTGCAGAAGTATATTTTTCAAATCACAGGAAAAAATATCTATTTTGCATTGATCAGATATGTCAACTATGTTCAGTTCTCTATACCATACTGTAAGAAAGGTTCAGATAACTGGTTCAGAGAATGGTCACGCAGAAAATTGGGACAAGAAACTAGTTATTATGAATATAGATCAAAGAATCTCAGTATAAGCCTTGAAAAAAAATACAAAGGTGAATATGAGCCTGGTTTAGCTCTGCAGACTAAAGCACCGTAATTAACATCCAGCTGTCTGCAATTACACCAGTTCGAATCTCCCCAGGCTCAAGGTTGACTCAGCCTTCCATCCTTTCTAAGGTAGGTAAATTGAGGACCCAGTTTGTGGGGGCAATAAGCTGACTTTGTATAAATATACAAAAGTATGAAGGCTATTGCTTAACACATTGTAAGCCGCCCTGAGTCTTCGGAGAAGGGCGGCATATAAATCAAATTTAAAAAAAAATGATAGTACTATTCAAAAATTGTAATTCAGACAAGATTCGTCTGAATACGTTCAATAAATTTAAAGTATAGCTGGTCCAGAATGTAAGAACAAAAGTACTTGTACCTGTCTATTCAGAGTCCTGGTAATAGAAACAACTTAAAAGCATCTGTAATAAATGGCTGAATAAATAAAACCCAAACTAATGCTTAGCCTTTTAGTTTTATATTTTATAATTGTCATGCATTTAATATTTTATAGATATTTTAATTGTCTTTATGAGCCATTAAAGTATGGGTAGAATTTTATATAACACCACACATGGAAACTGTCTTCTTGTAAAACTAAGTATTTGATTATAGTAATTTAATTACTGGAAGATAGTTTCTCAATTTTTTTTCTGAGGTTACATGCAGAATAGCCATGTACATGTTTTGTACAGTATATATATATAAACCCCTGGTCTTTTTGTCTCCACAAGCGGGTGCTATGTATTTTGTAGACTAAAAAGGAATGAGAAAACAATGATTAGATCATAATTTTACTACATCTAAATTTGTTTTCCATGTGGAAAATAATATTAATCAACTGTAGAAGTATGGATGTTATTCTAAAATTGATTTTGTAACTGATACTGTTTCCCACTCTCAAATCAACCACACTACCAGCTTAGAAGCTTGTAGCCTTCACATTATATAGAAAGTAACTTCATTATATAAAAAGCAACTGTGTTACTAATGGGCAGTGGAATATCCATAGGATAAAATATTATCAAGGGAAATAAAGTTTCATTTTTAGGATAAGGCATGGGATAGTATATAATGTTTTCTTTCACTTTCTTTTAATTCTGCAATATCAGATGTACAGAAAGTGCTTACAGTATAAGCAATCTTAAAATGATAAATCTACAGAAAGCACAATTAATGTATAAGAACAAAATGATTTCATTATCAACTCAAAGGCCTTTTTGTGCACTTAGATAAATTTTACCCATTGATGCAGAAATTAGCAATAGCAATAGCACTTAGACCCGTGATGGCGAACCTATGGCACATGTGTCACAGGTGGCACATGAAGCCATATTTGTGGACACGTGAGTGTTGCCCTAGCTCAGCTCCAGCGCACATGTGTGGGCCGGCCAGCTGATTTTCGGGCCTTCCGGGCCCACAGGAAGTCGGGAAACAGACTGTTTCCGCCCACCGGATTGCCTCCGGGTGAGTAAGGCCGTTTTCACCTTTCCCAGGCTCCTAGAAAGCCCCTGGAGCCTGGGGAGGGCAAAAAACGGGCCTACCAGGCCCACTGTGCCATCGCGTGCCAAGAGGGGGGAGCGTGGGGGTCACGAGTGCATGCGTGCGGGGGTGGAGCGCATTGAATTATGGGTGTGGGCACATGCGCGCACAACCCCCCTGCATTCCCGTTTTCAGCACGCGACAGCAAAAAGGTTAGCCATCACTGACTTAGACTTATATACCGCTTTACAGTGCTTTACATCCCTCTCTAAGCGGTTTACAGAGTCAGCATATTGTTCCCAACAATCTGGGTCCTCATTTTACCCACCTCTGAAGGATGGAAGACTGAGTCAACCTTCAGCCTGGTGAGATTTGAACTGCCAAATTGCAGGCAGCCAGCAGTCAGCAGAAGTAGCCTGCAGTACTGCACTCTAACCACTGCGCCACTGTGGCTCATTAATTTTTCCTTTAGAGAAATTACAAGAGCTATTATCACTGAAGTTCATCTCCCTTGAAAGCTTTCCTCTTCACCTGCAACCAATAAAAGAGTTTATACAAAAGTTTTTAAATGAAGTGTAAGCAATGTATGTGCAGTTTTTGAACAATTGCTTAAAGTATGTAGCATGAAACATTTCAGCAAAAGTAACATGTTCACTATAAGACTAGACCAAAAGAGGGTTGCAAATGATTTAAGATCAGCCACAAACCAGAATTAATAACAAAACTATCAGTTATTTTGCAAAGCAAAGCTTTATTTTAAAATCTTGTAGCTTTGTTTTTAATTATATACCTTGCATTCTGTTGATACTTTCATGATTGCTCAAGGCAAATTTGCTGTTTCCCTAGCCATTGAGGCTTTCAAATAACATTCATGAGCCAATAAGTGAATTTTTTGTTTATTTTTAAAAAGCTTATTTATTGTCTAAAAGGGCAAATTGAAAAATCATGTGATTTAAAAAAAGCACAGTGCAAAAGTTCAGACATAAAACTCTATACATGTTCCTCTCACTATAACACAGCATCAAGCAATCTTATATCATTCCTGCAAAGTGAAAGTAGCTGCACTGAGTTTAATTCATAAGATGTAATCCATTAAATTCCGTTTTACTGTCATCAAAAGGAAATGATCCTGTGCCAGAAACGCTACTTGAGAAAAACATGTGCAACCTGCTAGAACATCTTCAGACCAATTATTTAACAGCAATTGCTTCAGACATTCAGTTCTGCATCATATATTGTTTCCCAAAAATGGTACAAGAGCTACTTCTGTCTTTCAGACAAACAGTATGTTCGTCTCATAAGGATTCTCTCCAATGGATGTTGAAGAGAAATTTTCTACACAACTGTTTACGGAATTTCTTTTCCTAATATTTGTTAACTCAGGCAGAACATTTGCATGGTTCTTATATTGTAGGAAAAATATTATGCTCTTTTGCTTTTCCGTGTTTAAAACAGGACCAAGTAATGCTTGAATACTGTACTCCCCAAAATAAGCAAATTTTTGGAGCACAGTTCTCCCACTCAGCAACTCTCAAAAGTTGCTGTTCCAGTTCAATTCTGATACAGTACAAAATTGCTTTAAAAATATAGAGGTAAAGATATTGTCATTAAGAAAGATATCTAAATATAAAGATCTTGTCATTGCTGTTCTAACAGAAGGCCCCTAGAATTGATAAAATCTCTAGAAAATACACACACTTACACATAGAGAAGCTGACATAGAACCCGCCCTCTACACAGCTTAGACCTGTGATGGCGAACCTATGGCACGCGTGCCACAGGTGGCACACGGAGCCATATTAATGGGCACGCCAGCTCAGCTCTGGGGCGCATGCGCGTGCCGGCAGCTGATTTTCGGGCCTTCTGGGCCCACCAGAAGTAGGGAAACAGGCTGTTTCCTGCCTCTGGAAGGCCTGGGGGTTCAGTGGGGAAGGCACGTCAGGAAGTGACGTTTTTTCCTGTCCCCAGCCTCCAGAGACTCCTAGAGAGGCCCCTAGAGACTCCTAGAGAGGTTTTGGAGGCTGGGGACAGCAAAAAATGTCACTTCCTATCCCACCGAGAGTTGGGAAATGGGACCTTTCAGCCTCCGTAGGGCCTCCAAGGAGTGGGAAAGACTGTTTTTTCCCTTCCCAGATGCATAGAGAGGATCTGGAACCAGGTAAGAAAGAAAAACGGGCCTACCAGGCCATCATGTGCCAGGAGTGGGGGTGGGTGGGGTTGCGTGCGCAGGCGCGTGGGCATGTGTGCACGCAACCCTCCCCCCCCTCTCCTGGCACGCAATGGCAAAAAGGTTAGCCATCACTGGCTCAGACCGTGTAAAAGGACTGAATTTCCTGAAAAGGAAATTCTGCAAAGCATTCTGTTCTTAAGTACAAGAGCTTTCCCAATTTGTTAGCGCATGACTTTGCTCAAATAAACAAATAAAACACCTATGCACGCACACATAAAGGGAGTCTGGGAAAGCCCTTGAAACAGCCATTGGGAGTCTTCTGGAAGGATGACTGGTTCAACCTTTGTGAAGCACCTATATTAAGGCTTTTCAGTCCTTGCTGCTGTTGTGTTAGCACAGCCAAGATGGAAACATTAACAACAAAAGGTCTATTTGCAATCAAGCCCTCCCAATAACTTCTGATCTTTTTCATCCCCAGAATATTTTATTCTTAAGCACTGCACTTCCCTGACCATTTTAAAAATGAATATTAAAAATTCAAATATTTCAATATTTATGACCATTTTGCAATGTCAGCCTTTCTGAATTATGAACTGACCAATTTATAAAAACCTAAGTAGATTTAACTTCATATGTTCACCAAAAACAGAAGGCTGCCAGCTAATAATCCCAGGAAAATTGGGTTAATTCCTGCTACTTTTTTAAAAAATAAAAGGCACAGGAAATATTTTAACTTTAGCTTTTGTCCTGCTATGCTCTTTATTTTGTTTTGTCCCTCAGATCACTAAATCAGTAGGTGGTCTTTCAAACAGCCTGCTATGCTGGCTATCTAACCCTTCTTAGTTGGATGGCTGAAGACAAGTAATTCATCAGAATCTGAAAGAGGCAAATTAGATCCTGCAAGAGAAAGGGCTTTAAAGTCAACAAATGTGGCTGGTGCCTTAGTTAAGGTGTATCAGTGCAATGAAGTCTATGGCTTTAACCTCTCTTCACCACTGGCTCTTTAATTAAATAACTTCAAGAAAGAGATTAACAACTGCATGCCTGACATAAAAGCAGGGACAAAAATGGTCAGAGTTCATAGAATTTTCCTAGGTTTAGACATAACATTATTGGCGAAAAAGACAAAAGTAGCAACTGACTTCTCATGGCCCAAAAATGGCACTTCAAGAAAAGCTGCGGTAAGAGGATTCAGCAGCTGCGTCACAAGGCAGTCCAAAGCCTCTTTCCACAAAAGACTCATTAAAAGAAGTCTGTGCTAAATGTGAGCAGAGGAAGACTTAGCAGATAAACTGTCAAACACAACAAGATTCATTAGGTTAGGCTTTTGGGTGTTTGAAAGGTCCCAATACCCATACTCCCTGCAATGGTATTTTTGATCAAGAGGAGTGGAGATCTTTTAATTGCTGGGAGCTGAAATCAGCAGAAGATTCTTCATATTTGAGGAAGCTGAAGAGACAATGCTGAATGAAATAGGGAAAATGTACATCGTGGTTCATAAGCAGTATTTTCCATTGTCCCTGCTAGAATGAGGGATTGCCTTCTCTTCTGATTTTCTCAACAGTGCAAAGAGAGAATTTGTGAGTGCTTTAAAAAGTATATAGATTTGTCTGAATGGCACTTTAGACCTCTGGTCAGATGAAGAAGCAAATATAGTTAGCAGCAACCCCAGTTGGATGTGGGTTCATCTTTCAGATTGATATAGTCCCCATGGCCTGAAACAGACATGTCTTTATCACCTGGCCATGTTGTGGCCATCATTTTTTCAATAAGGACCCTAGGAAGAGAGAAAATTGAGTTACCAACAAACCTTGCAGCAATCATTTGACAGCATCTCAAGAAAGGGTAAGTCTCAATTATTTGTGTAACTTCTATTCTGGATCTCTTCCAGATGAGTAAATAATAAAAGTGTAATTTTGAAAGTCTGCACTGCACTGTTTATATTACATCTTTAATAACAGAACTACAGGTCAACAAGCACCCAGATACGTTTGTAACTCTGAGATACTCACTGACTGATGCTGGGATTGCTGAAAACGATCCAAAACAAGTGCATAAATATTAAGACTAGGCAAATACTTTTTTTTCTTGTGTTATGATGTTTTTCAATTTATTGCCTCTTACTGTTAGAGCTTAGACATTACACTCCAGTCATAAGCTATAGCAATGGCAGTCATTTCAGTATAAATTAACCCTGATCTCTGTAGTAGTTGTCATTCCAATCTTAGCTGCAATGCCTCTTATTCGGAGAATTTAAACATATCTGCAGTACTACTTGATACTACCACAGGCATAAAGGAACAATATGCCCAACTGTTTTTGAGAAACATTTAAGCATTCAACGTTCCCTACCTCATTGACTCGTTTACATTTTTGTTTTCCTTGACAGATGTCTCAGTCCAACCAGTAAAGCCATTCTCTTTGCTGAATTGGTCAATTTCTTCTCTAGTCATAGCCCACGGATAAAGATCACTCTGAAAAAGAGTTCAACAATGTCAAACTCAGTGTGAAAACAATTACTGAGCATATTTTTTTCTCTTGTCACTATTGTTAAATTGCAAGATATAATTATTTAATTAAATCCATTTAATTATAAAGCACATCTTTAGTGCAACATTGCTGAGGTAAGTGGTGAAGTATTCATGTCCATTCTGCAATTAAAGAAAATCTACCTCTTTTTAGTGATCAGAAGAAAACACTGAGAAGGGAAATTATCTAATTTGTCAAAGAGAGAGAAAGTTGCACCAAGAAAATGGAAATCAATGTATTGTGGAGAGATTTAATTTATACTCTGAATTTAAAATAGCGCTCTAATGTGCATCTATCATGTACTGTATACAATGATCCCAGAATCATATTAAACAACACTATTACTAAATTACTTCAACTAAATAAAGAAAAAATATAATCCTGATAGCATTTTTCTTTTAGCTATAATTCAATAAATAGTTATCATATTTTGGTTTTTTTTTTAATGAAGTTGGATAATCAACTCTCATTAAGTTTGAGTTTTGAAAAATAGCCAGACATTTGCTTAAAGCAGTCTGCCCCATGGCATTATATTAATTTGACAAGAAAATTAAACTTAACTAAAGTTAAGCTGAAAATTTCTACAGTGCCAGAATGTTTCTGTGCCCATCTCTGACTTAAGGATTCTGAATGTACAACACTTACATTATCAGTTCTTTCTAATATATAATGTTCAAAATTTAATTCACAGAATGTATGCTTTTCTGCCTGTGTTGAATTAAAATTTCAAACTGAGATGCAGCATATTGGATAGGGTTATAACATGAACATCCCCAGTTCAGATCTCCATCCAGACATTAGGTTACAGTATTAGGCATAGTACCTTCTCTTAGCCCAAGTTATACTAACTGGCATGGAACCCAGCACCTCACTTTCTAATTGGCATTAGCCAGTTTAATAGAATGACATCTGTGAGTTGACCTGGCTGTTGATAGCTTTCTAAGCCAATTCAAGATGCTGGGTAAACATCTATCGGAGCCCTTTATCACTTACGCCTTTAACTTTCGGACCAACCTCTTCATGTAAAATCTGCCTGACCTACACAGGGGAAGAAAACTGTTCTGAAAAAAAAAAAAAAAAGAGGTCTGGGACCTGGAGATTGATTTTTACAGCTTTATTCCCTTTCTTCTGGAATAGCTTGCCCTTTAAGGTTTGGTGTGTGCCTACTTTGATGTTTCAGATAATAAAATAGTCCTCTTTCAGACAGCATTTGAACTTGTTTGACAGCAGCTACTGTAGCAGTTTGTTTATAGTTTTTAATATTATGACAGCATGTGGCTAATAGGTGCCTAATCTTATAATGTATTCCTGTACATAAAATTCTTTTTGTATTTTATAACATCTGTTTCACTAACACTTGCTCAGTTAAATTCCAACTCAGGAATGCTCAAACACATAAAATGCTTGAATTTCCAACAAAGCCCAGATCTGAGATGAAGTCCAAAAGTTCAGAAAAAAAATCCTGCCATGCAGCACAATGAACAGGACTCAGCAGGACTTCCAACTTGGCAATCATAATTTACTACCTACTTGCTCAGTCACAATTGAAGCATTTTAGAAGATCATTTCCACCCCACCTTTCCTGCCCTTGAACTGCAGCTGGTATAGGAGGGCATCCCACTGTTAGGATATTCTTGCCCAATACATGTAGCAACTTAATGCCAAGTCTTCAAGCAATCTAGCTTTATAGACCCAGGAGTGCTTTGCACAAGAATTTATCTATGTGAATGCTAAGAGCTGATACTGAATCACTTAATCATCCACAATTTTTACACTACCCCTTTAGCCTTTGGTCTAACATCACATCACACCTGTATCCGCAACAGGTGGCTGCTTTTTTTTTAATGAAATCCTTTTCTGATGGAATCCCTTGCCTGACTCATCCATTCCAGAGATCCACATTCTTCTTTTATCTCTGCACAGTAAAAAACAAAACAAAATACACACACAGCATAATTGTCAGATCCCTAAAAGTGATACTGCCATTCAATTGGGAGAAGTGGGGCGGGGCGGTGCCTTGGATTTGATTCATTAGTATTGCCTTTGATAACTGGTATTTTATAACTTGTATCCTGGCCCCGAAGCCCCCTGAGATCTTCTCATCTCTTGGGGAATGCATAGGAGGATGGCCATGTGGGTTGTTTCACTTTGATAGCCAAGGGAAAATAGCTATGGGAATGTATGCTTATCCAGTTCTCAGGGCAGCTGGTAAAATAACATCTTCATACCTGTGGATTGGCTAAATCTGCATTCTGGCTAAAGGGAGGGGTCTCTACTGCTTTAATTCTATTGTCTTGCCTAAGGGTATTCAGACGTTCTTTGAATCCATTGCTGTCACTTCTGCTTAATAAAAGGTTCCTTTTGAGATACTCTGTTTCAAGAGTTTTCATTTTCTTAAGTTAGGAGAAGAGGCAATCCTTACAATAGTGATACACAGAAAAGCATGGTAATCTCTCTCTCTCCCTTTCTAAATGTATGCACCCATTTGTACGTCATCTCCTCAAAAGTTTCTATGATTCTATGATGAAGTAACAGTGCATACCTACAGTCTATTATAGTAATCAACAAGTTCTAGTAAGTCAGTATTTATTTACCTTATTAGCCAATAGCAGACAATGGATAGGACTTCCATCTTGCAGTTTCACCTTGCTATCCAAATCTTGTTTCCATTTCTGGCAATTGATAAATGTGCTAAAATTGGTGACATCAAACATGATGACACAGGCTGATGCCTCCTTGTAATATAGTCGAGTCATTGATGTGAAACGTTCTTGACCTGCATGTTAAATGAGAAACGTTAAATCATTATCTTAAAGCAAATATTTTCTGATTCAACTGTTTCATCTTTAGTATTTTATCTTTAGTATTTCACATTAAACTTTTCTCAATCGATCCATAATATTGGCCCATAATACATAATGTGCTAAATAAATAAGTATTATGCCTGTCGGGCTGGGGAAATGACAGATTACGGTCTACTGAGAAACTACTGAGTATCTTTTAGTAAATTAGAAGATTGTGATTTCTTATATTGGGCAAGGGTGTTTGACTTTCAAATTTTCTTTCCCAAAGTCTAAAATGAAAACCAATTCCTAGGCTAAGCATTTGCTTCAAGATACACTTTGAGGTTAAGTACATGTCTGTCTCACTGGATCACCAAGCAGAGATGCCTAGTTTGAACTTCAAGGTCACAAGTGGCCACTAGAAACCCTGAGCAGGCCTCTCACAGACCTACAAAACTTGTCAAAAGGAAGAGACTCTCAAATCAAGCTTGATGCTTCACAACTATATGTATGCATCCATGAAATTTTCACACCAGTTGTGCAGAAGTGGCTTGCTTTTGCCTTCTTCCAAAATGCCCCCCCCCCCCATCTTTGTAGTTTATCTATAGCTCTGGAATTTTCTGATGGTTTCCTATCTAAGTATACTTACCTTTTTGAAACAGCCATATTTCTCTAGCTGCTTCCACCTGCTCTAGGCTCAAAAGCCATTCTTGGATGGTCATTTTTAATACAATAAAAAGAAAATTATAACTATCTGTAGAGAGCCATGTTTTTATACATTTACAGAAGGCCAAGAGAGTGGAGGCCCACGTAACCTCTGGGGGAAGAATGTTCCACGAGACAGGGGCAATGGTAGAGAAGAGCATATTTTGTTGTTCAAACAATACAGGTTGTGCTCAGTTTATAATCACAATCGACTGGAATTTTGGTCATTAAGAGATTTAGTCATTGAGTCATCACCTGATTTTATGACCATTTTTATTGTGGTCATTAAGCACTTGTTAAGTGAATCTGGCTTCCCCAATTGATTCCTTGTCAGAAGCTGGCTGGGAAGGTCAGAAATCACAGTAACCTATACACAACCTGCTCCAATCTTTGTAAATGTGAGAGCTGAATTACAATCAAGTGATTGTGAGGGTGATGCAATGGTTGTAATTAGAAAAAGGGTTGTCAGTCACTTTCTCTGAGGCCGTCATAACTTCGAGCCATTGTTAAATGAACAGTCATAAGTCAACTAGCTGTAAAGAACATTCCTGGAATCCCTACTGTACCTGTTTCTTGACTTTGCCTTTTGCAAAGTGCACATTTAACTTCAAGAAAGTGCATATGAAAATAAAATGCAATCAAAATTGTCTCTTTAGGTATAAATCCATCTGGTGGCCCTGAACCAGTCACTCTGTCTCAGCCCAAGGATGGAGGCAATGACAAACCATTTTTAAAACCTTGCCAAGAAAACTGCAGGGACTTGCCTGGTTAGTCACCAGGAATCAAAACTGGCTCAAAAGCATGCATGTGCACCAGGAGTGGGTTCTAAATTTTTTTACTACTGGTTCTGTGGGCATGGCTTATCTTGTGGGCGTAGCTTGATGGTCATGTGACAATTATTTAGGATTTAGCAGAGGTACTGGTCTACCAGGCTTTTAACTGCTTGCAGAGCTGTACCGATCTACCCATTTATTTTTGCAGGCACTGATCTACTCATGTATTTTTGCAGCCATTGGTCTACCCATTTATTTTTGCAGGCACCGGTCTACTCATTTGTTTTCTTTTAACACTGATCAGCTGTAGGGCGGCCCTTTGAAGCCCTGCGGCAAGAGTTTAAACAGTTTTTTTCCCTCTAGCCATTAGCTGGGACTCAGGAGGCAGCAATAGATTGGGGGTGGGGCCAAATAAAAGGTAAGAATAACGCGGGCAGGGAGGGCGGGAGGCCCCAGAACCGGTTCGGTGATATCATATCGTCACCGCTACCGGCTCGGCGGAACCGGGAGGAATCCACCACTGATGTGCACACACAACCTACTTCTTGGCATATCTCTCAAGGTATGCCAAATGAAAATGAAACACAAAGGCTATTATAAGGAACTTGTAATAACAGGAAATAAATATAATAGGCCTGAAAGCTGCCTTAAAGGAAGATAAAATGAATAAGAGTTGTCTGCAAAAAGTAGAAAGGTTTATATGTATATATAAGGGTAACTTCATTGAGGAAGGGCTTTCTTTCTTTCTCTCCTCCTTCCTCCTCCCTCTCTCTCTCTTTTCTGTACTTTTGGCAGCAGGAAGGTCTGCCTCAGAATATTAAAAATTGTTTATTTCTTCACTAAGAAATCTGAACACATATTTTGAAAACTATCACCATGGTTTGAATGTCAGTTGCCCCTTAGAGAGCAAAACCTGACATTTAAAGAAATAAAACCTTCAACCAGCAGGCTATTTGTTCCAACCACAAGATGACAAGCTTTAAATAGCAAGGAAATCAAGTTATGTGAAGGGTTTCTAATGCCTAACAGATCTTTAATAGGTGCTAATTGCAATAGCCATCAACCTGCAGAAACATCTCAAGCTTTTTTATGGTTTTCCAAGAAATATTGCTTCTCAAATGACACTGCAAGTTATGCAAACCATATTTCAGAGGAAAAGCTACTGTATGTAAACGCTTTCAATCTGAGTTTGACTCCTATTCATCCCTGAAACTTTTGTGACATTAACAATAGATACGGTTTGTCAGTGCTTTCTTGCTAGATGTTTTTTGGGTGGTGAGGTGAAGGATTTGACCTCCTAAATTAAACTACAGTCTATACAGTTCTCCCATCCAAATGCTAACCAGATCTAAACCTACTTAGATTCCATAGCAGTCAAAATTGGTCAGGTGCTGCCACCTGCTGAGAGTTCAAAAGAAGTACAAAACAAACATAAATGGAATATTATGTGATTTGAATCCCCCCCCCCCCAGAATAGTTTAATTGTTAGGTTGTTTAAGGGAGACGAACAAGTAGGTAAGTACAATTACGCTACAAAAGGCTGAGAAGCAAAAAAAAAAAAAAAGCAGATAACTTCTTGAAACTCACCAGCAATGTCCCATAGTTGTAACCTCACTGTCTTAGACTCTGACCATTGCACCACCTTCAGAGCAAAATCCACTAAAAACAAACAGAAAATGAGAGAGGAAAAAGCAAATGCCACTTACTGCATATAGTACTTTCTTTCGCACTATACACCAGTGCTGATTACCCTCTGTATACAGACACTCTAAAATACATTGTCTATTGCAGGGGTGTCAAACTAGTGGCCCGCGGGCTGGATGTGTCACACGCAGGCCACACCCACCCCAGCTCCGCAAAGGCAAAAAATGTTGCAATACGTTACAATATGTCACGTGACACGATAAAGTTTAACACCCATATGAGCCAAAGCACTTCTGACTTCATGGGAAAATCCTTTGTAAATTACACTGAAGAACAGTGAAAACAAAGAGCCCCTAATTGTATTTCCTCTCCACACACACAGAACTTTAAACTGTATGGGCACAGGTCACTGCAGTATAACCATTTGATTCTCAAAATTGCTGGAGTATATTAAGCAATTTTAACAGAAAGGGATGTATACATCATATAGATATAGTTTGAATGACATATGCATTATCTCTACCAGCACTGATTTTAAAAGGAATAAATTTGAAAATGACCCAAATTATTGGCAGCAGCACATATTTCTGATTTATTTTGAGATAAAAGCTGCACATGTTATCTCAAGACAATTTATTTGGCATTGCAACATTCTTCCTCCATCAGAACACAATACGTGTAACAACGCAATCTTATCTGCTTTAAGCACCATTGTTTCTAAGAGTGATTAAATAAGTCTTCTTAAATGTTAACACATGAATCTTTCCAGAATAACCTTAGAAGAGCATCTCTGACTCATTATGTTTACTGTCATTACTATCGTCATGTAAGACAAATAAATTTTAGAAATATTCTACTACAAGAACCACAATTTTTTCAGAAGTGTGCTACCTCTAATTAGGTAAGGAACGGCAGATGAGTAAGTAGGAAGGACTGCAAGGAAGGAAGCAAGCTGATTGAATGTTCCTGGGGAAAATCTATACTATTTTCCCAAAGAGTGTTAAAAATTTATACACATTATGTGCTTGATTTATATAAATACTCATCTCACTTTTGTGTGGCTGTAGGTAGCTGCCAGCCTTACAAGTTATACCACACAGGGAACATGATCAGATGAGCTAACTCTAGTTTATTATAAAGCTTCATTAAAAGAATCTTGCAAGTCTGAAAGTACTGCACATCTTTCCCCAATTCCGTCTCCTTTACAGCCCAAGAAATTAGGTCTCTTCTTGAGCCTCTTGCCCCACTCACATTCCTGAAGGCTCAGCTGCCTTTTATCTGACCATTTCCTTGGTTGTGTTTCTTTACCCTATCTCCCCAGAGTCGTTCCCACATATCATTATAGTGGGTTGCAATAAAATAAGTAAGATACATAAAATAAACAATATTATAAAATAAAAATAAAACACATAGCTGCCAGGCATAAGCCAATCAATAGTCCACAGAGCCAGGAGATGGGCTCTATCACATGCCCACAGGTTCGGGCACAAAATCAAGTTTTCAAGGCTTACAGAGGGCCAATGGAGAGAGGGGACCAATCCAATCTCAGGGGAGATGATGGCAGGTGCTATGGGAGAAAAGGATCTCTTGGGCTCCATCAGTCAACACTCCTTAGCTGTCTATACCTGGAATATATCCATCCTGCTAGTACACACTTTGTTATTGTGAGTGTGTGAGGGCTACTAAGTGGCAGTGGTGATCATAATATAAATGTAAAGAATTATTTTAACATGGATCACACCTCTCTACTATCCTTAATTGTCTATAGTGGTCTGTGGGAATGATCTTAGGATGAAGAGCTGTAGCCTAGGTAATGGACTGATAAGAAGCAGCTCTGTGTGCAGGTGCGGGGGGCGGGGGGGAAGCATAGGAAGGGACCCTCTCTGGTGTTCCAGAGTAAAAAAGAAGAAGAGGGAAGAAATACTTTCTGTTTTGCAAGATTGATGTCAGCCTTGCAAGGTAGTCCAGTCAGGAAGCATGGTCAGATGAACTAATTCTACTTTTAAGGTGACATTAGCAAAAATTTTAGCAACCGTTTCTCTGCCCGGTTGCTGGGTGGGCATGGCCATGGTAGGCATGGCCTACTCGGCCTTCTGCAGCACGGTTGGGGGGGTGTTTTCGCTCTCCCCAAGCTCTGGAGGCTTTCTTCGAGCCTCCGGGAGGGCGAAAACAGCCTCTCCCAGACTCCGGAGGCCCTCTGGAGGCCAGAAACGGGCCTGTTTCCAGACTTCCGGAACTTCTGGGAGGCCTGTTTTTTGTCCTCCCAGCGCCTCCGTGCGGGCCCTGCACTTACTTGTCATCCAAAACTGCCATGTGGAGACTCTTGGGACGTGTGGGGTGGGAGGGGCCAGCTAGTACTTGCAACTACCGGTTCGGCGAACCAGATGTAAAATTAGCATCTGGTTTGCCCAAACTGGTCTGAACCAACTGAATCCCACCCCTGTCTACTATATGTTCTCAAAATTCCAAATCCAACTACAAACCCAAGTCTACCAGAGTCACAAATTTCTGTGATCTTTTCCCTCTCACAGATTAAAAGAAACATATTTAACTGCAGTAAGTACACTTTTAGGATGCCTACTAACATCCTGCATTTCTCCCCACAACGCAGGGGAAGCAACACTTAAGCTGTCTATTATTTAAATCCAACATTTCAAGTTCAAGGCAGTCTTGGGAACAACACCCCCCCTCCAATTTGCAAAATATATCTATTTTAACTGATCAGTATCCATTTCAAGAATGAAACTGGGTCCTTCATCATGTCTTCAGAAGAGCTTTTTTTTTTTTTTTTTACTGATCTCTGTCAATTCCTCTTGTACAGCAATTCTGTGGCACAAACATCACTTTCAACAAAGGAATTTGGGAGATTTAAATAGTACCGGTAATCTGGGCCAAATACAAAGAATTGCAAGTGAAATGGATTGGATGACAGGTAGAGAACCCAGAATGTAAGTGTAGGTATGCACTGAATGTATTTAGCAAGCCTTCAAGTCAGTGTGGATTCCTGGTGACTGCCTAGACCATGGGTGTCAAACTCATGGCGTCACGTTGCTGTCATGTGACATATTGTGACTTTTTCCCCTTCACAGAGCTGGGGTGGGCATGGCCTGAGTATGATGGATCTGGCCCATGGACTACCACAGTTTGATACCCCTGGTCTAGACAGTCCAGAATAGCTGAGAAGAAACTGATGTGATCTTGGATATGTATCATACAATGTGTTGGTATATCATGGTGATGTATTGTCCCTGCAGTTTTCTTGCCAAGATTTCAAAAGTGGCTTGTCATTGGTTTCTTCACTGCTGACAGCAGTGACTGGTCCAATGTCACACTGCTGGCTTTGTGCCAAAGGCAGGCCAGAACTCACCTCTCTAGCCTGCTGCTGTAACTACAGAAAAGCTTGTCAGCAGCTATGATTACACTATTGATATAGGCCTGGAGTGGGTGTTAAAACTGTCTTCAGGGCAAAGATTTCACTTTGCCTTTTGATTTATAGTCTCCCAGGAATATTCTCCGTATGTGTTACTGACCAGCACACAAGTCTGTTCAAAAACTAAATTTGATTTCATTTGCATCTACATTAAAAAATATTCAGCCACATTAAAAATTCCAATTTGGTAGCAACTTTCAGAAATCTCCTAACTAGCTCCAAATTGTAAAATTTTGTATAAATCATCACATATTCTTGGCAGTAAAGCTTACACACAATCACTGGATACTGATAATGCCTGAATAACAAACTTTAAAAATAGTTAATGCCTTGTTTCATTCAATCTGTGCACCCACATTTAGATATCCTGCATACATATTTAGCATTAAAGGTGTAGGTTTTTTTCATTCTTTTCGTTATCTGTAAAATAATGCAATAAATAGAATAATTTATCTAAAATAGTCTCTAAAAAGACACTATTTTAATACATACATGTATATCAGTGAATGTTAAAGTGTGCAGCCTGCTCATATTGCTCCTCACAGTAGGATTTATGCTGGATTAAGTGGAACTGACAAAAGTTCATACTGAAATCATACACCAAAATTCTATGTAATAGATATTTTGCTCTGAATTATAGATTTTAAGAAAACATGTAATTCAGATTAATCAGAAAAGAAAATAGAAGAGCAGAGCAGATAGCCCATCTTAACATAGAAAACGATGTTTGGTTTGGTTTGGTTTATCTTTTCTGTGGCAACAAAACTCTGCACAATCAGAGCTTAGGAAGCAGACTATTTAATAACCGACCGCTAAGGTTATGAGTAAGCATGGTCACATTTCACTATGATACTTTAGCAACATAGTAATTTCCAAATTGAGGAAAAATAGGGTTTCATATCAAGGATGGAAAACCCACAACAAAGAGGAAGTAAGTATTGTAATACAAACATTCAGATAAACAGGAATTACAGAAGTAAGGTAAGGTAACTTCACTTGCAATGAAGTTTCAACGCAAGCCTTTTCATCAGACAAATCTTTGCAATTAGGGAAGAATTTAGCACAAAAACAACCCTGTACATTAACCCCCTTCCCTGCCACCGCCTCCCCTCCAAATATTTTAGGTGTTTCTGTAATTTCCTTGCGGGAGTCCTGAGAAAAATCCAGAAAACTCACCTCCCACCGTAGACTTGTAGTGCTTGTTGAAGCTGTCATTAGCATATCTCTGGACTAAAGAGGTCTTCCCAACTGTGGCATCACCAATAATTAAGACTTTGAACATGTGGTCGTGATGGCCCACCATGACTGGACACCAAACCCAATTAAAAGAAGCGGGTGCTGCTTCCTCTTCCCTTTCCTGAGGGGTCAACCAAGTGAAAGAAAAAGGAAAAAAAAAATCAAAGTATAATTCGTGTTATTTACAGAGAGAGGCGGGGGGGGGGGAAACCCCGCACATTCAATCGTAGTTTCTGTAATATAGGGAACTCACGAAAGGGTCGCTTCCTGGTTTTCCGTCTGCAAGGATACCTCTTCCCGAGCAAGCACAGCCCTAATTTAGGGGCTTGGGGACCAAATAGACCACTCCCAGAAGCGTTGTTTCAGTCCTATGCACATCGGCGGTGCTGCGATGGGAACTCAAGAGAAGACCCGTCCGCCCTTACCTTGCTTTCTAAGAAAGAAACAAGGAAAGGCTCCGCACCCGATGAAGCACCAAAAGGACGTTCACCGGGAAGGCAGGCAAAACTTAAAAGGGAAGCAGCTTCCTTCTCTCGCACCGCTTCTGACTCCGCTTCGCCAACTCTTTTCCGCATCCGCCTTTGCTGTCATGTGAGAGAACCAGGCGGCAGCTCTGCCCCCTTTTAAAGCCCCAAAAACTACATCACCCGGCATGCATTTGCGGAGTGCGTCTTGATTAACTTGGGAAATGGAGCGTGTTTTTAAGCTACTCCGGCCGGCGCTGCAGCGAGTGTTTGGTGTTAGAAGTGGAAGCAGTTTAAAATTGGGCCCTCCAGCGTTTTTCGCAGATGAAACGAGGAAGTCCTGTTAGGAAAACTGAAGTTTCTTCCCCTCCCGCCTCCGCTTATTCCTAAAACTGTCAAAAAATGTACTTTGGACTATACGTGAACCTATTTTCTCTAGTAAACTGACTTTTGGTTTTGCAAGGGCAGGAATGTGCTGTGTCAGGTTAAAGAGGCAGAAGTCTTCAGGTGTAACTGATTTAAGGTCCTTTGCTGGATTACAAACAGGAAAAACTGGCTGCAGGATATCAATCAACTAATGAACAGAGTGGAATGTGTTAATTTGCAGTTAGCATTTATTAGGGAAGCATCTCCAGAAAAGCTTCTCAGGAAGAAATACACAAAAAGACTGATAATGGTTCATTTCAGTGGTGAAATCCAATTTTTTTTTACTACCGGTTCTGTGGGCGTGGCTTGGTGGGCGTGGCAGGGGAAGGATACTGCAAAATCTCCATTCCCTCCCCACTCCTGGGGAAAGGATATTGCAAAATCTCCATTCCCACCCCACTGGGGCCAGCCAGAGATGGCATTTGCCGGTTCTCCAAACTACTCAGAATTTCCACTACCAGTTCTCCAGAACCTGTCAGAACCTGCAGGATTTCACCCCTGCTTCATTTTAAGGCTATGCCTGCATACCAGGACAAAAAGGAAGTCATGTTCTCCTGTTTACCCTATGAGTCCGCTCACCCTAGTTTATATCAACTTCATTCATTATACTCTGTGTATCTTTCAATGCTGGCAACCTCTATCCTTTTATCTTGGCAATCTATGGTATTCTTATTCTTGACACATCCATGTATTGCTTCATCCTTATTCATCCTCCCCCCTCCCCCCATAGACTGGCATATTTTTAAATTTTTTCTCCAAGTGGTGGAATCCTACTTTCATTCATAGCCATGCTGAGTGTTTTTTTGATAAATCTTTTCTCACACCTCCTCACATTTGTATCATTATTTGTATTATTGTTTGCATTTTCCCACCTTTTGTTTATTTGGGTTACAATGCTTATAGCCTAACCAAAGGGGGGGGTATATTAAATGTATTTCTATCATTAGTTATCATGCCTCTATCTTGCCACAATCAAAACAACTCTCACAGAATACATAAGCAAAATTATCCATGGTTAGCTTAATCCAACAAATGATAACTGCCCTGCTTCTCTAAAAACTTAAAGACACAATAGCAAAAGCAAAGAAAACATATATACATAGGAAAAGGGTTTCCAAAACACTTAAAAGATTTTTAAGTTTCTGGAAAACCAATAAAGGGAATTGAAGAAATCAAAATGATAATGAACAGTAGTAATAATAAATTAACTCTTTCCCCAAGATGAATGCCAATAAATCTTAGCCAGTGTTGAAGGCCACTTGAAATAAAACTGTTTTTTAAGATCTTCTAAAAACAACAAAATACTCAGCTGTACAGATCCCTGGGGTGAGATTTCCAAAACTTTCCATAATTCAAATATATTTCCTAAACTAATCTAGCAGCCGCTGAACAGCTACTCAAGATTGTCTGGGTCATGGAAACACAGGAGTGTGTTGCCTATCCTTAGTTTTTGAAATATTTCTAATATACATATTCACAGGATTTAGTGTGCAACACTTTTTTTTATTATTTTGAAGCTTTACAGGGTGAAATCCCCTATGGGGGAGCAAAGTTCTTTTTTTGTTTAAATTTTTAAAACATAACCATTTTTGGCTCTGAGCATTGAGACCATGTGAGAGGATTCTGAGATATTGCCACTGGAAACAGATCTAAAGTTCATAATCCTTGGTCCTTAGCAACAAAGTCAGAGTCATACAAGCAATAGTTTTCCTGTTTGTTAGCCATAAATGTCAGCAGGTCTGTTATCCCTTTATACCTTGCCCAAATAGACTCTAAGACAGAAAGGTAGATTAAATTGCTCTTTATTTATTACATAAGTAGAGAGAGCACCTCACTGGCCACTCAGCCAAAAGAGGAGCAGTTTACAAAAGGTGGAGAATTACTTTACATATAGGTCAAACATACCTACTTTGGAGTGAGTTCTTTCATTGGTTAAATCATTTGACACATCTCTTGATGTAGTGTATATGCACAATAGCTCTAGCATGTAACATCCCATAATTTCTTGTTAATGTTAATGAACTTGTTAATGCTCATTTATATATTCAGGCGATGTGGTTTTTCCCTTATAACATGTTTGTAAATCAGTAAAGTTCAAGTCAGTGTCCTTGGCAGCTTTGAACCAGTCCTTATTTGGGGCTGTACATTTCACATTCCTAACTTGCTTTATTCTTAATCTACTAGAAACATTAATAAAAGAATTTCCTAGATACTAAAAACATTTATTAAAGCTTGGCTACCTCTGCTACTGCCATCACTGTGACACTATATAGGTCCAAAAATTCTCAATTCCCTTGAGAAGTCCATAATCCTAGGAAATGTGGAAAGAGAAGAGTGTGACACAGACGTCATGGAACATAACCACTCAATCATAACCTGAGCAGAGGGACATAATCTAAGATATGTAAGTTAATTTGGATAAGGTGTATTTTTCTGAGGTTTTAAACAACACTCACATGTGTCTCCTCCTTTAAATACGGTAATTCCTAAAATAAGCATGTAGTTTGGAAATAAAGGACAAAGCGGCCAATGAGTAAAACTATAGGAAACCAATGTGGCCTAGTCTTTTTGGCTTATTAATACAAAGAGCAGCTAAAATGTCAGCTACAATCTTTTGATAAAAATGAAGGACCAAAAACGATATAAATAAATGTAAATATTTATTTTACCAAATATAATTTATCAGTTAAATTGGCATTTGTCAATTCAATTACAGCAACTATAAATAAGGAATTTGTTTTCTTTGTTGAGTAAAGGTATAAACCAATAGCTTAATTTTCATTTGCAGCCAAGTTTAAATATACATGCATTTGAGTGCAACTCATGAGTATAAAATTATTTTTTTACAACATTCTGTTCATACACTTGCACTTTGCTTCCCACCTTACCACTGTCAAGGCAATTCAGGGATCTCATCCAAGCAGCACAAACATTTCAGCTCTTGGATGAAAGAGACTAAATTTAACTAGGAGACATACATCTGTTAATGAGATCTAGTGACAGATATTAATCAGAGAGAAAAATGTTTATGTGGTATTATACACATATATAAGAAAAGTGCCTAGAGTGTTAGATGAAAATGAATGCATCCAACTAGACATTTAGATAAGGTAGATGAAAGTTCTTTAAAAAGCTTACAACTTAATGCTTAAGATAGGATGAAACCTGTACACTTTTTTGAAAGTAATTAGTAACTTACTTGGAAAAAGTCCATTTCTTAAGAAGAAACTAAGCATTTGCACCTACTGAAATCTGAAGAAACCTCACAGTATCAATTCTTGTATTCACAGATGACAGGCAAGAACAGCATCTTCAGCCATATCCATTACTTCCAAATTACTGAAGGCATCATGCACACAGAAGGATTAACTCACAAACAATTGAAGCATGAATTTGAAGCCTCCCTTGATGACATATTAAAATATGGTTATGGCAGCACCCAGGTTGTAAACTAAAGTAGGTCACAGGATTATCCTAAAAATAGTTGCAATCTACATAAGATCCTGTGGAATATATTGAACACAATATATTATATTCACTTCCACTCCAAATTTTAATTTTGGTAAGTAGCAACCACATTGTTTTGAAGGAAGACTTGCAGGAAAGCTGCTGTTACATTCCAGATAACAGCTCGTCTCCAGCAAAAAAGACTCAACACTTTTCTGAAAGCCACAAGCATTTAGTTTCATTACTTGAGCAAGTTTAGGACTGCAACCTCCCAGGCAACCACAAGAAGACAGAAAAGAAATGTTAAGAAGTTTAAATGTTTGTTGCCATCTGGTGGTTCTGGATTTTTGCAATCCGTATCTGGTAGCCCTATGCATTTTGAAAGTAGTAAGTCAAACCTAGGACATTTCAAGGGTCGACACTGGTCCATCCCTCCTTACTTACTTCAGCTTTATTGGTAATTAAAACAAGTATTGGAAAACAATCCTTGATTATAGAGAAGCCGAAACAAGAGAACTTTTAATAAAACAAGCTTTAATAGAGTTCTGCGTTGAGGAAATGTATATGATTAGTGAGTCATATACAAAAGAGGTAGGTGTCCCAGCAATTTTGGTTATATTGTTGAGTTCAATATCAAATAACATACAGCACAATAGGCCTCCACTCTCTCTGGGACAGCACAGAATCTTAATTTGCATTCTTGAATAAAATGAAAAAGATCCCCCTTTCACATCATTTTATGCAACTAATTTGGCATTCCCTATTTAAATATTTTGAGCTACCTATGCTCAAGCTCCATTTATACAAGCAAAATAGTGTGATAAAATAAATTCTAAATAACTCTATAGTAAGAAGAGTGTATTTCATATCAAAACTCCCTACTTACAGAACCTGGTATGTTGCTTCCAGATTCAATTGCTATCCAAAATATCCAAATTATGTGATTGCAGTGTGGTTTTTACAATTCTAAGACTTAATGTCTTCTTAATGTCTCATTTTTCATGAAAAAATATATAAAATAAATGTCATTTCTTCAGATTCATAATAATAGCATTTATATATTTAATGCAATATTACAGATGTTCTGATGTTTGACCTAGAAAACAGAACTTATGTTGAAAATATTGGATTTCGCTACCATGCAGGAGCTACCTGCCAGTTTTTATAACTACACTATACAGACAAGACAATGTTTGTATACTTATCTAAACTTCAAGATAAGACTATGAAATGTATGTGTGAGGAGCTTTAATTTCTAATTGTATTTCATGTGAAGGCTTTTCAAAAGAACCAACTCCATCTTGACATTACAATGCATCAGGTCAACTCTGGGAAACATCCCACAAATTACTTTAATAATTTTATTTGAATTCTGTAGATTTGAGGAAGTGCTAAACACTTAAGAGTTGCCTTCAATTGTAGTATCATGATTTGGCATCAAAACATTAACAAGCGTCTCAATCACATATATTGAAAGTTTTCAGATCCATAAAGACCTGTCTTTTGGTCAATTAGATTTATTATACTATCAAGGATAAGCAAGGAGGGGTATGTGTGTGTCCAAAACACTTCATCTATTTGCTACTACCTGATACCAATTATGGTAACTGATGAAAAATATCAGCCTAGTTTAAAAACAAACCAATTACCAGCTGCATCTTAACTATTCACATACATATGTTACACAAGTGATAGCCTTGTATACCTAGTGTAGCGTTTTTCAAGCTTGATAATTTTAAGATGTGTTGGCTGGAGAATTCTGGGAGTTGAAGTCCACACATCTTGAAGATGCCAAGCTGGAAAAACACCCATCTATGCCTTAAGTGGGTACAGATGGAGGAAGGTGGATTGCTTTAAAATTTGTTGTTCAATTTTTCTCTATTATGTCTATTATATATAAATAGTTAACCATTTGAAATTGCACTTGGTGATTGTCTTTATACATTTTCTTCTTCTTTTGTCCTTCTTAAAAACTAATTCTCCTGTACACACTTGGCTTGAAATATAAACCACATAAAATTTCCCATTGAAAATAATGAGAATCTAGTATCAAAGTTAAAGTCCCAAAGAACGACAAAGGGTGGCAACAAAGCTTCATGGGGGCAGGGGAATGTGACTGAAGGAGATGAACTGAGGACTGAAGAAGCTGAGGAAGGATGCTGTTAGTCTCCAACATCAGTATCCCGATCACCAATTAGCCAGAGGATGTGGAAGCTGAGTGCCAGGAGACCTGTTCCAAGCAAGTCACCCAATGCTGTCAAATAAGGTATAGAAAAATTGTCCGGGTCCAGGCCTCGACCCCACATCCAATGAACCATCCAGTCAGCAATGTAAAGAAGAATGAGAACCTGAAAGGCACAAGCATAATGGTCACATTAGCAATGACTAGATCCAAACACCAAGGCAGATGTAAAGACTACTTTCTATAGTCCTCTATATTACTTCAACAGTGGGAAAGGACCTTGTAGAATTCAGGGATGTCAAACTGGCGGCCCCTGGGACAGATGCATCACATGCAGGTCACACCCACCCCGGCTCCACAAAGGCAAAAAACATCACCATATGTCGCAATACGTCACATGACATGATTGAATTTTGCACCTGTGTTGTAAATGAACCGTGGTGGCACAGTGGTTAGAATGCAGCACTGCAAGCTACTTCTGCTCACTGCTGGCTGCAGTTCGGCAGTTCAATTCTCACCGGTTCAAGGTTGACTCAGCCTTCCATCTTTCCGAGGTGGGTAAAATGAGGATCCAGATTGTTGAGGGCTATATGCTGTAAAGTGCTTAGAGAGGGCTGTAAGGCACTCTGAAGTAGTATATAAGTCTAAGTGCTACTGCTATTGCTAGATTTCTCCATCGGTACGGATCCATTAATGATTAATTCTGTCTTCTCTGGTGGAGGGCAAAATTATGGAATAAATAATTATTATACTGTAGTAATAGAATATAGTTTAGGAAAAAATGCAAAACATGCATTTCTTACTTTACTTTCTTTTATAAAGAAATACAAAATACATTTATTTTTTCAAGCCGTTTAATAGTGCTGGTTTCATTTCTCTTTTTTTAATCAATTATATTTTTTTAAAATTAATTGTATCATATACTATAAAAGATTTCTGCACCTCCTGGTCCTGGGGACTTTCCATTTTTAGTGCTGGATGGGGTGGCACTGCAATCAGGGTGTGTGTCACCTGGGGGTCCTTCTGGACTCATGGCTGCTGATTTATAAAAATGCATGCAATGCTTGTAGCATTGATAAACTTGGGAAAGAAATATTTTGAGTTATTTTAGATCATAACTTTGGTTGATATATATACGAGTAGTCCTTGACTTACAACAGTTACAATGACACTGAAAAAATGACTTATGACCGTTTTTCACACTTACAACCTTTGTAGCATCCACAGGATCTTGTGACCAAAATTCAGATACTTGGCAACTGACTCATACTTATGACCCTTGCTGGGTCCCAAGGTCTTTTGCAACCTTTTGACAAGCAAAGTCAATAGGGAAGCCAGATTCACTCAACAACCGTGATACTAATTTATCAACTGCAGTTATTCACTTAACAACTCTGGCTAGAAAGGTCGTAAAATGGGGCAAAACTCACTTAACAAATGTCTGTCTTAACAACAGAAATTTTGGGCTCAATTGTGGTCGTAAGTCAAGGACTACCTGTAAATACTACAGTGAAGCGTATTGTAGATGGAATTATGCTTTTTCTGTTCAGTAGTGGACAGAGAGATCTGCTCTTGAAAGGAAGGCCCAACTTCAGATGTTACCTCCTAGATGACAAAGATGTTTTTTCTGACAAGTGTTTCAATAAGGTAATGACAAAAAGAGCTCAAGAGAGATACTGTATACATCCCCTCACCAATAGGTTAACTTAAGAGCTGATGTTTGAGATTGCTTTTCTCATTTTTCCTCCTATTCTTTTTCTTTTCCGTCTTTGGGATGTAAGCCTGCAAGAGGGAGTTAATATTTTTTCACCTATTGTACCTAATCCCTCGGGGACAGATAGTTTTTGGAAAGATAAAAATTTCATAGATAGATACATGCTGCGAGACGGTAATAGCAGTTGTATTCAACTTGCTATTACACCTCAGCAGGCACTATCTAAAAGTTACTATGACACACTTAAAAGTTCTAATCCTTACAGGCAATTGATATAGAAACAACAGTACTGCCCTAAAATTATACTGTGTCCCTGGAATGGGCTACAGCCCACTGTTCGAATTTTTCAAATGCAAGCACAACAGAGTCCCTGGATGAGCTGTGTTTATTAGCCATATCTACTGTTTTTTTTAAGAAGAGCTATGCCTTGCTTTCTAAATTTTAACTCAATTGTGTATTAACTTCAAGATTTAACAATCACTTCCACAGGCACGGAAAGCCAATTTCAACCAGAAACATCCTGGGACAATATCACCATCCTCCAATGTTGATGAAGAATCATGCAAAGCCAAGATCCTACTGAGGCAGCTCAGAGTAATTGGCCTCTCCAGCATCCATTGTGCAATATCTATTCTATTTGATGTGGCAGTTTACTACCAGGTAGACAAAGGAAGGCATGATCAAGGCAGAGAGAAGCAATTTATGTAAGAGTGCACTGTGTGCTTCACATCCCTGCTCCCTGCAGGCAATCTAATTTTTACTACCACTTGGCTATGAAAAGTTGAATACAAAAAAGGGGAAAATACTTTCAGTACAGAGGAGTATACAGCTCTACTTCTAGTCTCACACGTATTCAACATCAAAGCTAGCATTGTACCACATGACACATGCAGTTAACTTATATAAGGAATATTAGTGCCTCAGAATAAATTACTCCTTTAAAAACTTGGATTGTAATTTTATTGCATGGCACTTCTAAGCTCAACGAACACAACTTCAGACTGTACTGATATATTTTAGCCTCATTTCTGGCAATTTAACTTTTTTTAGTTTGTTTACAAATAGCTCAAGCTGGAGACCATACCCAATGCACTTTTCTCCTGTTTTCCCCACAACAACTATCCTGTGAGGTGGGTAGATCTGAGAGTGAATGACTGGCCCAAAGTCACCCAGCTGCCTTTCATGGCTAAGGCAGGACTTGAACTCACACTCTCCCACTTTCTAGCCTGGTGCCTTAACCACCAGACCAAACTGGCTCTCATATGCATTACAAATTATCTTAACTTATTTCAAGCAAGTTTTGCTACTTTATTTCTGTATTTATTTTAGTTAAGGTGTAAACCTTGCCTCTTAAGAGCTTAAGATGTTGTAAACAGTGCTTTTTCCCTTAATAGTATATACCCAAGGCACACATACGCAGTTGCTAAAGATCAACATCTGGTCCAAAGATTCAGTGAGTTTCATGGCTGAATGTGGACTTGAATCTGGTTCTTCTCAGTTCTAGTTCAAAACTATAACTATACTACTACACTGATTCTCTTTTTTACACTGCAGTGTAATGGCTGCAATGCAAACTATGTCGCTACAGAACTTAACATTGAAATCTGAAACAATCCTTGAAACCCATGATAGACAAAAAAAAAAAAAAAGAGCCCATTGACAGGATGCTCTCAAGGAAATGGATAGATCGTTTTCTGAAAAATAACTTTGCCCTTCTGATTATCCGTATGTCTCCCAAAGTGAGTAGAACCATTAAAAGCCCCCTTCCCCCATCATGCTTAAAAATATGTCAAAAACATTTGGCCCCACTCTCTCTGACACAGCAGGGGGATAAAATCTGGCTCCTGACCCAAAATAATTGCCCACAAATGTGGTAAAAGACACCTTTCTTTACATCTTGTCTCGTCTTGATCCCCTCTGACAAGATAAGCCAGGCAACTGATGACAACTCTTACCTGGAGAAGTGCTGCGGTCATGTAGAAAACTATAAATATCAAAGTGAGGGTAGTGTGGCCTCCCTGCATGGAGCTGATGGTGTAAAGGAAAACCAAATGGCCTGGCACAACCAGAAGGAAAAGCACCCGAGCAGACCGGGAATTCACATCTGCTGATGAGATGGATAAAGTTAAATTGACATATGCTACTTATGAAAGGAAACTTCTCTACGTTGTTATGCCAGCCTCTGTTTTAACTATAAGTTGGAAAATGTACATTCGTTGTTGGGACTATTTGTCAGAATTGTATACTATAAAGAATATCCTACCATTGTAATTTGACAGTGTAATGTATTTCATTGAACTCTACAACTAAGACCTATGCAGCTGTTATCCAAATCTTTCTGTAAGAACTGGATGTTATGCCTCCAAAAATGGGCACCAAATGTTGGGTAGCCCAAGAACAATGAAAAATTGTTAACTCAGGCAAATTTATTTGCTTACTCCATATAGGTAGATTCTTGACAAACTAAACTTATACTATCATACTATCAACCTAATGGAGATACCCTGGGAGATTCTAGGGCAGTGATGGCGTACCTTTTAGACACCGAGTGCCCAAACTGAAAGGTATGTGCATGAGCATGTGCCGAGATGCGTGTGCATGCACACATATGCAGCAGAGACCCAAAGACCAGCTGGCTGGTGAGAGGTGGGGCATCCCAACACGGAAATGTGGCAAGAGGTAAGATCTTTTTTCCCCATGAACTTCTGTTTTGTTGTTTGCAGGGAAACAGAAGCTCATGAAAGAAACCCACGGAGTTCTGACCTGGTTATCTATAGCACTTATTCTGGTTATCTATAGCACTTAATCTTAGTTAATTGGATTTAAATTAGGTTTACTCAATTGGGTTTAAAGACATTGCATTCTATTGTAGCCAAGTATGTTCTTGCTATGTCCTTACTAACTATAAAAGCAACGTTGTTCCTTTATTATTTTTCATGTCTTATATACTAATCAGTGCAATCTTTTGACTGAAGGGCTCAATTCCAGGCCTTCAGTCCTAGGCCAATTTAAGGCCTAAAATGTCAGTCTGTTGTTAATTCATTTAACCTTTCACTGAGTTGAGCTTTCCCATGTTCATGTTTCTTACTTTCCATGTTCGCACTGTAACTCTATCTTCATTTCTTGCACGGCAACATCAGCAACTACATGTCCCAAAGGCTTTAATCTAGCCATGACATAAACTTCCTTCCTTCCTTCCTCCCTCCCTCCCTCTGATTCAAAGAGAAGTATTCAAACAAAGCATGTTTAACTACCTGAACTGAAGAAAGTGCTACAGGGACTTGGACACTTGCGGGGGGCTATCCCTGAATTCTCTCCAGGCAACCCACTCATATGGAGATAAGTGGAGATGCGGCTAGCCTGGACAGCCACCAGATTGCCACCAACCCCTGTAAGAAAACAGAGACAAAATATGATCAATTGTATTGGTGCCAGTGATTCCTCAGCATCAATTTCTTCCAGAAATTCCTTCCATACTTGTGTACAGCAGACGATTGGCACAATCTGAAGCTGATCACCATCACTTCTTATGGGAAGATCTACATTATCTTATAGGAGGCACATCCAATTTCTACTGTGGTTCCAACACTGTGAAGTGCAATACCGTATCAGTGATGGACAGAATTCATGGTTGAGTGTTTCAAAATAATAACGTAATTGGAAGATATGTTTTACAACTATTATGCCATTCACATGAAGAGAATACAAATGGACCCATAGAAAGAGAGTTGGAGATTTCTGCAAGGTTGTATTAGTATTCATTTCCTCTTATTTAACTTTTTGAATCTGCCAATAACCAATTTCTCCCCAAATAGATCACACTTCTATTAAGCATCTGTTTAAAACACAAGGATCACCTAGACTACCTCACTGACCTTCAGACTGGCACTTTAATGTATGAACACTTTTCTAAGGACTTAAAACTCAGTTAAGGTGGCATTGACCAAATCATTTCGCACATAAATAGCAACGCGTGCTATGATACAAGCCATTGGAAGAAGGAGAAAACTCCCCAACTTTAATTCATTTTACAAGGTATTGATAGAATTTACCAAGAAAAGGGGTCCTCATTTAACAACCACTCTTTCAGTGACTGTTCAAACTTATGATTATACTGAACACGTACAATTCTACCAATCCTCTGACCAGTCCTCAAAGTTCCAGCACTCATATATCCTCCTGAACACGTGATTGTGATCCAGGCGCTTGGTACTTGGCTTGTAATCATGTCACAGCAAGCCACATTCGCATGATTAAGATTTCTGATGTTCCCTGCTGGCTTCCCACAAGCAAACTCAATGAGAAAGCTGGCAGAAAATCAAAGGTCAATCATTGGAGTCATTTCTTAATGACCCATGTGGTTTTTTCTTAACAATGGCAACTAGGACTGCTATCAGTAAGTGGTCTCACATGATGTCATTTTTTATGACAGCATAGCTTAGTGATGGCAATTCCAGTTCCAATTGGCATCATAAACCAAAGACTTCCTGTATTAACATTTTAGTACAGGTCATTCACAAATATCAAACTGCTACATTAAGCTAAGATAATTAATCAGGAAGCTATATTAAATTTTTCTGCCCATGTATACTATTAGTCAACATGGTAACCTCTTATATGCCATTCTCTTTTGATATCTTTCTTTTCCCGCCAGACTTTTATTGTAATAGTTTTGATTACGTTAGTTACAAGTTACGTTCTTCCTCCCATCCTTTTTTTTTGCTTTAATTTATATGCCGCCCTTCTCCGGAGACTCAGGGCGGCTTACAATGCGTTAAGCAATAGCCTTCATACTTTTGTATATTTATACAAAGTCATCTTATTGCCCCCACAATCTGGGTCCTCATTTCACCTACCTTTGAAAGGTAGGTGAAATGCCCCCTTTCAGGTGAAATGTATCCTGCCCCCAATACAAATCTTTCTGCCATTTAATTAAGAGCATGAGTTCAAAAGTATGTGCAAAAGCATTGTTACATGTAAGGTGTTATATCTGGCACATAAATATAAGATCTCCAATTGTCTTAGCAATGTTCTGTCTCTAGTCCCCTTTTTATTTTTAGATTTTTCATTTCTTTTAGGAGCAAAAGACAACATACACAATATTCAGAAATCCATGTAGTCCTGATAGTGCTGCAATTTAATAACAAGTTAAAACTTCTTTATTCCAAAATGCTTTTGATCCTAGCTGATAGCGAGTGTCTATCTTCAATTTTATTTTTGCTTTTTTGTATATGGTCAATTCCTGCTTTTGATATTCATTTCTATTTATTTATCATGTTTTTCTTTGATATTGTATATTTCCAGGATAGGGGTGAGTTATAAATACTAACTATATATATATAGTTATATATATATATATATTTATATATATATATATAAACCCTCCTCCCCTTTTAACCTCACAATAACCCTGTAAGGTAGGTTGGAATTAGACATTGTGTCTGTCCATCACCTAATAACATACAGCTAAGCATGGATTTGATCCTAAAACTTCCCAATGTAGTTCAGAATCCTAACCATCATGCGTCACTGGCTCAAGAAAGTTGAAGAAGTTCCCAAAGCTGCAATTTCTATAGTTACCCATGGACTAGATGCAAGATAAGTCATGTGAGTTTTCATTCCCACAACATACAGGAATTGAGTATTTAATATCCCACTATCTCTCTCACCAAGTGTTAAATATCTTGAAGTTGGTTGTTTAAAATGAAGAACAGCTCACCATTTATAACAGGAGTAAAGACTGCCATTCCTGCAAAATTTGGATCTGACACAGTTTTATCCAATATCAATCCTCCAACGCTGAAAAAAGAAACATTGAAAAAAAATTGGAAGATATAATAGCCAACTGCACGAAGGAATTACTGGTACAGCCTCAAAAACTTGTTTCTTATTTTTTGTGATGCTTGGAAAATATTGCTTCTGACAGCTAAAAAGAGGCCGGGCCATGTGCATAAGTGAAGTGAGTCAGTGGGCGACATCCCCCCCTGAAAATAAGACCTGGTGCCTTTTTTTGGTGGCAAAAAAAATAAGACAGGGTCTCATTTTCGGGGAAACACGGTACATATCTGAATATCTCCCTGAATTTTAAAGAATTTTTAAAGTACATTAGGTCTGCCATTGTTGAAGGCATTGAGGAATCTGGTTAAGAAAATATCTCTGAAACAATGACCCAAGGGACATGGGTGATCTAGTATACAATACAAATACAGAGCTAGGCTAAGTATGGAAATGAAATAATAATTATATATCTAAGTGGGCTTTTTAACACACTTCAACCTTCAAATGGACTCAAATATGTTGAATCAAAAAAATTCAAATTTCTGTTTTGCCTTTTCAGCTCAATGAGCCCAGGATACCCTATCATGAAGGGGGGAGGGTACCCTTGCAATCTTCAAGAGCCATGGTGGCACAGTGATTAGAATGCAGTATTGCAGGCTAATTCAGCTCACTGCCAGGAGTTCAATCCTCACCAGCTCAAGGCTGACTCAGTCTTCCTTCTGTCCGAGGTTGGTAAAATGAGAACCCAGATTGTTGGGGGAAATATGCTGAATCTACTAAACTGCTTAAAGAAGGCTGTAAAGCACTATGAAGTGGTATATGAGTCTAAGTGCTATTGCTATTCATACCTGCTAATTGCCATGGCAATGATGACTGGTTCCCAGCCAGAATATAGTACCTCCTGGGTTGCTGGATTCCGCTTAGCAATGATGATCCAGAGGGGTAGCAGTGCAACAAAAAAAGCACACACCAAGGGATTCACATAAGGCTTGTCTTCTAGATAGAAAGAAGAACAAGGATTTGAATGAACAACCAGGGCATGGCAGATGCAGCAGAACAACAAAGTGGCAAGTGAAATATGTATCATATTTTACCAAAAGAAGAAGACAATCATTCCTTTTTAGCCACAGGCAGAAGAGTTTAAGGTCATATCTACAATTTGTTTTAATGAACGTAGATTCCTAAGTCTATACCCCACACCTATATTTTAGAACTTCAAATACTGTCCCTACAGTATATGTAAAGAAGATACTTCTGTAGTATAACTGCTATTGTCTTAGCTGAAATGGCAGAAATAGCACTCATTTTGCAATTTGCACAGACAAGTTTCCACTTTATGGGTTACTGGGAGATTTATTTATTTATTTATTTGTCCCTTCAAATCAGCATGGTCTCCTAGTAACTGCTTGGACAAATCCGTGCAGTTTTCCTGGCAAGATTTCAGACATGGCTTGCCATTGCTAGTTTCCTGGGGCTGAGACAATGACTGGGCCAAGATCACGTAAGGTGGGACTAGAACTCACAGTCTCCCAGCTCCTAGTCTGCTGCCTTAATCACTACACCAAATTGTAATTTTTACTACTATATGGTAGCTATGCAACATTTCAGATTTGATCCCAAAAACCTGTTTCAGAAAGCATGGTGATGGAAACATTTCAGTCCTTAACTTGCTGTGGATGCTACGAAGATGCTGATTTACAGGCAAGTACTGTTGTGCTTGAGCACATCCCCATTTCTCCAGAAAGGTGAGTAGACAGGTAATGCAATGCTAAGATTGCCCCTTGATATGCAAATAATGCGATCTGGATAGTTTTCTCTTTCCATTAGGGAAGATCTCAGAAGTGAGAGGCAGCAGGCAGGCAGAGAACATTTGCTTCAGTTGGACTAATCCTCCTGTCTAAGATCATTACTAGGGTACCAATTGCTCAATGAGAAGAATCCCAGAAGAGACAAAGAGTCAATTGTTCTACATAAGGTAAAGGTTCCCCTTGCACATATGTGCTAGTCGTTCCTGACTCAAGGGGGGGGGGGTGCTCATCTCTGTTTCAAAGCTGAAGAGCCAGCGCTGTCCGAAGAAAACTCCATGGTCATGTGGCTGGCATGACTCAACACCAAAGGCGCACGGAATGCTGTTACCTTCCCACCAAAGGTGGTCCCTATTTTTCTACTTGCATTCTTTATGTGCTTTTGAACTGCTAGGTTGGCAGAAGCTGGGACAAGCAACGGGAGCTCATCCCATTACGGCACTAGGGATTCGAACCGCTGAACTGCCGACCTTTCGATCGACAAGCTCAGCGTCTTAGCCACTGAGCCATCGCATCCCTCTTGAGCCACCATGTCCCTCTACATATACAGAAACAAATACCCACATTTGTAATAAACCTCCATTATTAAGACTGATATTACTTGTAATATATGCATTATACTATTTCCTCTAAGGGCAAGCAACATCATGTCCAAGGAGTAAAAAACAAATAAGGCAGGCATGAGATAAGAAAAAGACATTAAATAGATTTTAATAATAATAATAATAATAATAATAATAATAATAATAATAATAATAATAATTTTATTTATATACCGCCCTTCTCCCGAAGGACTCGGGGCGGTGTACAGCCAGAATTAAAATATAAATATACAATATCATAGTTAAAATTAATTAAAATCATTAAATAGTGTTGGCCTAATTTTAAAACCCAAAATTAAAACCCAATTTAAAATCATTCAGTTAGACAGCCCCGCCTGTCGGAACAGTAGGGTCTTGAGGACACAGCGAAAGACCCGGAGGTCAGAGATGTTACGAATATCCGGGGACAATTCATTCCAAAGGGCAGGAGCTCCGACAGAGAAGGCTCTCCTCCTGGGTGTCGCCAGCCGACATAACTTGGCTGACGGTAACCTGAGGAGTCCCTCTCCTCAGGGTACATCATCAATATGTTCACCCTGTTCATATCTTTCCATCTTTGAAAATTATACTTGTTTCTACCATGTGCCAGTTTGGTGTAGTGGTTAAAGTGCTGGCCTAGAAACCAGGAGACTGTGAGTTCTAATGAGAAATGAAAGGCATGAAAGCTGGCTGGATGCCTTTGGGCCACTCTCTTTCAGCCCAACCCACCTCACAGGATTGTTGTTGCAGAAATAGGAGGAAGGAGTATGTATGTATCGCCTTGAATTGCCTATAAAGTAATAAAGGCAAGATAAAAATCTAATAAATAAATACATTAAATATGCACATGCCACTTCCTTACCTTAGGTTTAAATTTGTCACCTCTCATTTTCTGAAGATCTAATCAATTCCATTCATCAGTTCCATCTAATTATAACTTTCTCATCTTCTTCCTTTGGGTGTATTCATTCTTTCATATATTTGTTTTGTGATTTGAATACACATACATTCTCTCTAAATGACTGAACCAATTCAACAAATGTCTTTCATATTTTCTTTCACTTATTCATTAAGCATCCATTCACTCCTGACCTTCTTTTTGTTTTATCACACACACACACTTCTGAAGTATCCCATTTCTACTGCATTCAACATACTGTTATATATCTCATGACATGTACTGGAGCGACAGAAAATTATATGTAGCTATATCATCTGGATAGAGATATTTCCATAAGTTCACGCACCCAGCCAATGTAGTTCTAATATCACCAGAAACACTGCTTTATATATGTATCTATTTAGAAGAATAGACATATCTATTTAAAGAAACAAGGAGTCTTTTTTTCCCTTTCTATCATATGTTTCTCAGTGGACTTTCTAAAGAGCAAAATCTAGTCTGGACACCCCCTGCTTAGCATAAAACCACAATGTACTTTCCAAAGTTTCTTCACAGCCAGCCTTTTCCTCTTATATCCTTTCAATCAGAATTTTGCCAAATATTTTTCCAGGTTCACTTAACAAGCTAATCCACTGTAATCCACCTCTTGCTGTTTTCCCTTTCTCTGGGAAACATTTTGCCATATTATACAAAAAGAAATGACAGAAAAACTGCCACAATATTCAGGCCATATTTGAAAAAAACCACACATATACATCACTATGCAAACATAAAAGCTACTAGGTTGAATAATAGGATAACAGAGTTGGAAGAGTTTTTAACTCTAATTGAACCTTGACCACATGGAGTGATAATTGATAGAGTAAATTCAAAGAAAGAGGGAATGGTAGTATCTTTCCAGTGGAGCAAAACTGTTTTTTTTTTAGTTATTGTATACTGCGTGATGGAAAAATTCAAAGTTCTTCACCAGCAGATAATCTGGTATATTACTTAGTATTTTATTAATATCTTTAAGAATTATTACTCTATCCAAAGTCAAGAATAAAACAAAACAAAACAAAGCAGAACAAACATAGGAAGACCAAGATATTTATATGAACAATGCTAACATTCTTCCTATCATCAGACATAAATCCACATATGTATTACCCACTACTCAAATTATACAGCCACTCCATAAGAAACTGTATTTATTTTTAGCATTCTTTAGTTGTTCCATTTATACCTGCAATCTTCCCATTGTTCACTGTTCTTGAACACTAGCATTTACAGCTTTCATTTCAATTACAACTCCAACATAATACTCTTGCTTCCATAGAGATATTTGAAATTCTTCTTTCATCATTCCCTTACTTCACTTTAATCATTTCATCACATTTTTCATTCCAATCCTTTTGCTAGATCTTTTTCAACTCTTTACCCACTTCCAACACAATTCTTTATTTTCATCAAAATTACTCTGCATTCTCTCTGCCTCTTTTATTCATAGCCCTTCCTTGCTCTTTTTGATTACTTTCTTTGCAATTACTTTTTTAAAAGACACATCATGCAATATATCCCATCCATCCTTTTTTCGGCAATCATCTTCTTATATGCATTTTTCTAATCTCCTGCCTCTTTCATTCACCACGCAACCCTTTTTCATACTTTCAACGCTTGGAATATTTCCTACTGAACAATGTAGTCTTCACAATCTTACCCAGTTCTATATAGAGGCCCCAGCTAATCCCAGAAAGCAGAGCCAGAGTAATGAGGTCACCAAGACTGGCAGCAATAGGTGTAGCCACATTGTCAGGATTGATACCCATCTTTCTGGAACCAATGATTACGCCAATCATGATCATGCCTAGAGCCCATAGAAAGGAGATGTTAGGGTTACTACACAATGAACTGCAGATGAAATCTCTTTCTCACAGAAGCTTTTATTTCTTACCCAGAACAAGGGAGGCAATGAAGGCAGTGGCCACACTACTGGCACAAAGGAGAATGGCATGGCCAACACTGAAGTGTCCATCTGGGATCCAGCCAAATATCACTGCAGCAATTGAAGCCAGAAAACCAACAACTGTTGCTTGAACCTAGAAAATGCAGCCATGTTTATTTGCAAGGAAAACACAATTTCTTGTTTATTGATTAGAAAAATATGCTGCTTGATTAATCACATACTAGGTAGCTCACAAAGATAAATCATAACAACCATTATTAATAATAAAATATAAAAAACAATACAGGTAGTCCTTGACTTACAACAGTTCATTTAGTGACCGTTCAAAGTTACAATGGCACTGAAGAAAGTGACTTATGACCATTTTTCACACATATGACCATTGCAGCATCCTCATGGTCACATGGTTTACATTTGGATGCTTGATCACCGGTTTATATTTATGATGGTTGGAGTGTCTCGGGGTCATGTGATCATCTTTTGCAACCTTCTGACAAGCAAAGTCAATGGGAGGCCAGATTTGCTTACCCGCCATGTTACTAACTTAACAACTGCAGTGACTCACTTAACAAATGTGGCAAGAAAAGTTATAAAATGGGGCAAACCCCACTTAACAAATTTCTCACTTGGCAACATAAATTTCGGGTTCAATTGTGGTCATAAGTCAAGGACTACCTGTATACAGTATCCTGTCATCCAGTTAAAACCCATCCATGGAAGAAAACTACTTTCACTGATCTTCTAAAGGAAAACTTAGGGCCAGGGTACTTACGGGACCGCCTTCTGCCACCAATAGCCTCCCACCGGCCGGTTCGCTCCCACAGAGAGGGCCTCCTCAGGGTGCCGTCGGCCAGACAATGCCGGCTGACGACCCCCAGGAGGAGAGCCTTCTCTGTGGTGGCACCTACCCTATGGAACAATCTACCCCCAGAGATACGAGTGATCTCCGACCTTCGGATTTTTCGTCGGGCCCTAAAAACTTATTTTTTCCAGTTAGCCGGTCTGTCTTGATTTTAGGGTTAGTTTTAAAATTTTAATATTGATTTTAAATTGACAAGTTTTAAATTATGGGCCAAATTTATAAATTATTTTAACTTTATTTTTTAACTGTGATGTTTTGTATAGATGTTTTTATCTTGGCTGTTCACCGCCCTGAGTCCGAAAGGAGAAGGGCGGTATAGAAATTTGAATAAAGTAAGTAAAGTAAAGTAAAACAGGATGGGGCTCAATCTGATTCTGGGAGTCAAGCCATTCTATTGCAAAGCTCATCCTTGGAGTCCCAGGAGGCATTGGGGTTCATCATCTTACCCAAACTGCTTAAGACAGAGAAATTCTACTTATAAAAAATGGTTCCCAACATAAGAAAGGTCCAGATTATTTGAACTGCACCTGCTTACCATCTACTGGCAGACCGTGCTGGTTCTGAAAGATAGTTGTTACTCTATTGAAATAACAGTTCCAGTTGCAGTTTCCAAGTGATCTTCAGTGGCAGCCTCATGAAGAGCAAACTGCATTCTCACTTACATGGAACCATTTCAGAGACTAGCAAATGTCATTCTAATTGTGGTGACAGACGACAAAAAATTTATTGGGTGTCCTAGCTAAGTCTGCCTCGACACTGCTTCAAACCGGTACTTCCTCAGGCTCCTGCCATCACTGATAAATCATGATTCTTTTGCTGAGTCACAAGAAAGGATTCAGAACGGTCTTCTATTACACTTTAACAGAAACTTTTTCTAGGTTGTGGCAGTAGCAACTGCCAAAAGACTGCTTAACATTCTTTGGAATGGATGACTATATGACAGATGTATCTAGAAATTGCCCAGTAGTAGAAAACTGGGATTTCTCCTCCCCTACCAGTTTTTTTCCCTGCCCCCCTGTCAGGAAATAGTGTCAGCTTCTCCAAAATTCACCTGTATCAGAGCCATGTTCCCTATTATCATCTTCCAGAGCTCTTTTGGTGTGTCCATTTGTCCTATGTTAGCCTACAAAAGAGAGATAGATTAAAAATAAATAGATGAAGTGATGCTTCCTGAATTATTTAAAATTTATTCGGTATGATAACCACAGAAGTATTATGAATAGGAAGATAGACTCATCATTATAACTCTAGATTTACTGCTTCAGCAAGTGTCTTGCTCATCATATTCCTTTTTAATGTAGCTTTTATTAAATATTTTTTAAAAAAGATTAACAACTGATAAAATATAGAATAAAAAAGAAAGGGGAAAAAACAGTGCAAAAAAAAAATAGAAGTAGTTTCCAATTTTCTTTATAGCAATTATAAGTACAAATAGAAAATGACCTCTTTCTCTATGGTTACAAATAGAATTCTTTTCTATAATTATTTTTTTCTAATCATCAAAAATCATAAATCATATGTTCATTTTTCTCTATTTCATGCAAGATGTGCATAAGGCATTTCCATTCAGCAATAAATATATTACCCTTTCTCTAATCAAGGAATTTAGCAATCTCTGCAAGTTTCATCATCTTCACCAACCATTCCTCCTTGTGGGTAACACTGAATCTTTCCACCTTTGTTTTTAGACAGGATAACTGCAGCAAGATTATTGTAGCATAAAGTTCTATAACTTTTTTTCCAGCTGTTTGTCCATCAATCCAAAAAGAAAAACTCTTGCTTTCAGTTACATATTAATCTTTTAAGATCATCTGAATTAGTGTATATTCAAATATTTCTCTTTTTTCACAAGTCCAAATATACACTGTATGAATATATGCACAAAATATGTGTATGTGTATCTCAAATACAGGTTAATTATTGTTATTATGGCTATTTTTATTCAAAATCATGAGTTCCATACCTCCAGAGCCATCAACCTAATCTCCCAATATTTCAACCAGTGAAATCCTGCTGTGTTATTGCTTTTAATGGAATATAGGCTAGACTAAGATAGATGGATATGTAGACAAAACCATTAAAGCAGCCATCAACCATGAATCACATCCACTCTACAATGGCATGGTGAAGATTTAATATTCAGCCATAACAGCTTGTTATTGGCTCAGCCTGGGTGAACTCACTATGGCCATGTATAGTTCATAATGGTTTATTAACAAGCCATGATAAAATATAATGGCTCAAGTACATAATCTTAAATCAAAATGTAATATGAATGTATGAAGATCATCAGGACAGGAGCAGCACTTACTCATGGGAGTAATAGGACAATGGGACAATGTTACATTAGTGACCTAAGGATTACCAGACCTTTCTATAATTCACCTTTTCACATTTATGTTTGCCCGTCTACTAGGCAAACTGGCTCTTTGTCTCATTTATGTTTCTTTCATGTTTCACCAGTACAAACAGAAAAGAAAACATCACCAGCAACAGAACTGCTACCGAGGAAAAGACACATAAAGCTGCTGGCAGTCCCAAATCTGGCAAGGTCCAAAGAGAAAGATAGGACACAAGTCATTCAGCTTACAAAATTGTATTTAATTCTACTGTTGAATTTGGCTCAGGGATTCCTTGTTCTCTTGTAATTAGGTTAGTGATCCACATAACTTGGCTACTGGTAAAAACAAATGTTTAATCTCCTGTACAGGATGAATGTGTTCTCCTTTCTTAAGTAACACAAGAAAATTATTTTGGAAGTGTTAATGCACATAAAACGAGAACCTGGAAGCAATTCTAAGCTTCTTTTGCATACAGCATAAAGATCAAGCAAACTGATTTTTAAAAGACGCTTCAAAATACTTCTTATGGCTGTTGAGCTTCCCTTGGAAGGCTTTGATTAAGAGAGTTCATGTAATTTCAACATACATACTTAAGTCCTTTCAAGGGAGAAGAGATAGTTTTCGAAATCACAACTTACTGCTAGCTCAAACTCACAAAACCTTATTGTGAATAAGAGCAACACCTTTGAATCCCACGTGATGTAATTGGTAAGCTAGAAGTCATTCTTCTTGCACAGACTTCAACGCTGAGGAAGCATTCAGGTCTCCGTATGGGGAATTCCCTCATACAACACATGAATGCAGTAATAAATAGCACATGCCTTTCCCCCACCCCCATGGCAGAGGCAGAGCAACAAGAAGAGGATGAGAGAGAATAAAAAGCTTTGTTTGTGTCCCAGCCAAGCTCCTCTTGCTGCCAGCATCTTTCAGCTTTGCTGGAACACAGCAAGAGGTTCAGTGATCAAACTGTGACTCATGTTCCATAGAAGCACAGCTCCGAGGGGGACTGAGGAAGGAAACAATTCTCAAGTCAAGGTCAAATAAGAAACAACTGGAGAGTTCTATAGTAGGTTTAAGGTTATAACATTTGTACAGGGTAAGCCAAAGCCCTCTCCATAATGGATATCTGGTAACTGCTAAAGAAACAATAGCAATAGCATGATTACATGAAGGAGTCTTCAATGTTGGGAAATATTTTCTGCACTATAATAACCAGGGTAATACATTTATAGGTTCATATGTATTGCACAAAGCTGTGTTTACTTTTAACTATAGGCAGTGGAATAAGCCATGTTTGACAATATTCATATGTAATATTAAGTGATAAGCCATACTTTATCAAGCACAATGACTCAGTACTCACATCATACTTTGCCAAAATCAGACAATCTGTGAAAAATATGAACCTGTTTTCACATCCCTGGAATGACCATTCATAGATTTATGCAGCGTTCACACCATGAGTACAAATTGAGGATGCTTCTTAAAATCAGTGTAAATTAATCTGCTAATTGGGATCATACATTATAAATAGGCAGACAATTCACTGGCCGGGGTCATAATCTCACTAAACTATAACAGTTTTCAGTTAACATATATGATGCCAGTCCCCGTGGCTTACTTAACAAATCACAGCTTAATAACATTTTGACCTAAGCCATGGAAAGCCAAACATTATTACATTTCTATTCCAGTTCTCTTATAGCGTACCTTCAGAACTCTAATAGGCCAGTTGTTTTGATTGATTGCCCTTCAGCATTGGTGTTCATTATCACTGACTGATTGGTATTCCATTTGAACCAAGATTTTGTGATGAAATAATTCCTGAAGCAGTAACCAATATTTTGCTAGATCACTATTGCACAAGTGCGATGTCAGCTAATGATTCCCCATCTAATCAGCTTTCTCTGAATCTATCTAAGTTTATAGCTACACCACACTTTGATTATATTGGTATTACAATTATTAAGTTTTACTATACTTTTTATTGTCGCAGAATTTATTTGTTTTTGAATTGGCCAATTATTGTAATAAAGTTTACTAATACTGCTACTTAATGTTGGGCATGCCAGTTTCATTCACAAGTCTTCTAAATGGTCGAAGTAGAGTAACCTGGCAAAGATATAATTACATCTGATATTTGCTGAATACAGGAAATGGGAGTAAGGGAGACAAATGGCCAAAAGAATGGATTTGATTAAGAAATATTTAACTGCTCCAGTGTCTTACAGATCTTTCCTGCACCTCCCCCACCTCAACTTTAAAACAACAACAACAAAAACATCCCACTTCTAACTTTGAAACTTAGATTTCCTTTTGAGGTTATTTGCAATCTTGCAGTTTGTGCCATACACCAGCAACTTTACATTTCTCTCATGATTCCTAAATTGCTTTTATATGTCAGCCATTCATCCTTAAAAAAATAGATTGCCGCTTTAGCTGTCATAAAAAAACCAAATATCCATAGTTGAGAATATTTTATTAGAATCCCACCCTTCTTCAAGTAACACAATTTTCAACATAAAGAGATACTTCCAAGACCTAATCATCTGGCTCATCACCTTGGAATCACCCATCATTCTCAAGCAATAGGTTATTACAACTTTTCTGTCTATTTAGCAAAGTAACTTTGGGGGGGGGGGGATTTTGATCTTAAAGATCAGTAGGAGAATGTTTACTCTGAATTATGCAACCTTATAGAATTGAATAGGCTACGATATTAAAATTTAAGTAGAATCTGCTTTTGTATGCTGAAATAATGGCAGTCAAGAAGTCCTGGAAAATTACAAAAATATCAAATCAGTCATCATATCTCAGAAGAAGAGGTAGTCATACAACCAGTGATCTTGGAACTTTTTGTCAAGCACAAAAGTAAATTAAGAAAATAATTAAGTTTGATTAATGTAATAAATATTAATGCTATTATTATTATTTGTAACAAAATGAATTATACCCAGAGACTACACTGTTCATGTATTTATATTGATGTAGATTTAAAAATAAAAATTGTATAAAACTGAAAAAAAAGAAAGAAAATAAGAAAGGCTGCAAATTAGCAAAATGTGAGTTTACACTATTTTTTAAAAGAAACTGACATGCTGTCTGCCTCCATGCTTTCATTATTGAACTCCTCCAACTATATCTTATATCTTCCATAAGAATTTCTAAATTCTCATAAGTAGGTTTTGCAGTAACATGGACTAAATGGGAAGGCAAGAAAACATGAACAATAGTGAATTTTTGGTGGATAATTGGGAATCTAGAACACTGTTCTTATATCCTGTCCATATCTGGAGAAAAAATATGACAATACAGTACCTGTTTACATACAGACTCTGTTCTCACTGCCTAGTAGTATTAAGCTGTATCATAACAAGGTAGAAATTATATTGTGGTTCTAAAATACTGGCCATTATAATGCTTCATTAATCAAACTGAGAACAGTTGCATATACATAAATCCCAAATGTAGATAAATTTCACTTGTAAAATTACTTTTAGCTGCTTCACTTTTTATTTGTAGTGACTGATACTGCTTGAAAATGTGTTCACAGAAAAACTCTCTTGACAAATTATCAAAATACTCACAGCAGTAGAAAGGCGAGAAGCTAATGTCATCTCCAAATTCCCTTTCAGCCCCAAGAGAGCTGGAACCAGGATAAATACTTCAGTCACGTACTTGAAGACGTCCCAGTGCTGTAAAACCAAGGAAATCATCAGGTTCTAGGAAGAGATTGTTCAGCAGAGACTTATTTTTCAAATATATCATTAACATTTCTAAGATTTTTCAACACTTACCAAGAGATTCTGCCAAAGCAGACTGTCTATCAGAAAAATAACATGTCTTGTTATTGATGTACTGCTACTTAGAACAGAAGATATTTGGCTATGCTTGGAGAAGAGAATAAATTATTTTTATTATTTTTATTATTTATTTATTTATTTATTATTATTTATTATTTATTTATTATTTTTATATAGGGCAACAGAATATATATATTGTGGAATGAGTCACAGAATCCTTTGCAATGGGCAAGAACTTCATGACCAATGATTAAGGCTTATATGGTTTAAAGAAGCTGCTGAAGCAATTGCAACACATGTATAAAAATGGGCATGAAAAATTGTCTCCTGCTTAATGGAGAGCAATCATCACTCTTTTGAAAGTCTAGATATTTCTATCACAATGTTCTAGAACTGTGATGGCGAACTGTCAGCATTGTGACAACACAGGTGGCACACGTAGCCATATTGGTGGGCACACGAGCTCAGCTCCGGCGCACCAGCTGATTTTTGGGCCTTCTGGGCCCACCAGAAGTAGGGAAACAGACATTACCTGCCTTGGGAGGTGGTGGGGAAAGCCCATTTTTCTCTCTCCCAGCCTCCAGAGCCTTTCTAGCAGTCTGGGGAGGGCAAAAACGGCCTTCCCCACCCTCATGGGGGCCAGAAACGGCCTGTTTGCCAACTTCCAGTCCCACCAGAAATTGGCAAATGGGCCGTTTCTGGCCTCCAGAGGTACCCCGGGGGTGGGTGGGGAAGGCTATGGAGGCTGGGGACAGCAAAAAGCAGGCCTACCGTGCCATCGCGTGCCAGGAGCGGGGGGAGTCATGCACGCATGTGCAGGGGCAGGGCGCATAGAATTATGGGTGGGGTGCACACGTGCGCGCCCCCCCGCTCCTGGCACGCGATGGCAAAATGGTTAGCCATCACTATTCTAGAACATCTATGTTCTTAAAATTTTAGAGCAAAGAGAGATGAATGCTACACTATGGCATACTTCCTGTGTGAAGTTTTATATGGGAGCATGACATAATGTAACATCTGTATCTCTCTACTCTGAGAGCTTAAGTGAAGGTAGAGTATATATACCATTCTAACGGATTCTATATATTATTTCCTGCAAATCCCAAATAGCTCCTAAAATTAATACAATCTATATAAACATCTAAAGTTCAAAGGTTCATGAGTTCAATTCATGGTAGAAGATTAAAATGTCACAGAATAACATCTTGCTACCAATGTCTCATGAGTTCCAAATAGGACAAAATTGTTCACATGCCTGCTTCTTGATAGTCAAGGTTAGTTACAGAATTCAAAGTGATTAAAGCTACAATCTGGTCTGCAAGGCCCTGGGAGTAAAATTCATTGATCAGAGTTGAGCATGTAAACATAGATAAAATTGCAGCTTTTGAGATTTATCTGATATAGGTAGGAGTCAAACTTGGTAGTTCAGAACTCTAGATCAGGAACAGCAATAAGAAGGTATTTCCCCCACCACATTCTGCATTATTGTCCTTATGTCTCGCCTTTCTTCCCATAAAGAGATTACAGGGTCTACCTTCCAATTAAAACTTACATACACAAATATGGGCAAAGGAAAAATTGAGGTAACTAACAGACATAAACTCATTTCCACTCATCCAAAGACTTGTTGTAAACATCCTGTTCCTTCCAGGATAAACTTGAATACTCTATATAAAGGGCAAAACATGGTTTTCTTCAGCAATGATAATTACAGAGCAAAGAGTTTTTGGAATAGAAAAGAAAGCCACAAAGGCCACAGAGAAGGCATAAAGCTTTCAAAATAACACAAAATTAAGTTTCCAGTAAGAATGGATGCCTTAGTTAAGAAGCCAAGAGGAGTTGGGCTGGATCTAATCCAGCATTCTGTATCCCCCACAGCCAACAAGATGCTTATGGGCAATCCACAAGAACGACATGACACAACTGTTTAATCATGGTTGTTGATTAAGCTACAATTGCTGAATTTACACAACACCTTAGCAATAAGACTTCCACCATGAACTTCTTTTTCAAGTTGGTGTTTGCTAGGTCAGGATATATCAGTACTTTCAAAGTGAAATTTTATTTTTACTTTACACACGCTGATATAGAGGTGTAGATATAAAAGTATAGCTTTTAGAAATATCTTTACTTTTACATTATTATTACTTTTAATATTATCCTGTTTAGCTCCTACAATGCAATATCTATGGCCCAATATCTATACGCCACAAAGGTCATTTGTGCTTGGACAGTAAAAGATAGTCATTGGTTAAGTTCTAACAGAAGATTACAAAGATTTCTTCCCTGAAATTCCAAAGGATTTAGGATATAAACACAGGATCTTAACTATTCTTAGAAACAACTAATCAATTCACAGCTGAAGATACGGAAAGCATTTGGAGCTGAGAATAACATTCTCAGGAAACGACTGACTCTTTTCTTTCAAAACAGAGATCTGTTCTTCAAAAACATAACTTTCTCAGTTAAAACTAAAAATATTAAAAGGAAGGTATCTATGAAGTTTAGTGTTACTTTTTACTCATAGAAAAAGGGTATTAAACCATGACCTCTACAGATATTTTTTTACTCACTGTAGTGCAATCTTTTAAAAGTCATGGACTGAGGCCAGCCAACATGTTCTTCTACCTCAATGATTATTTTTAGTGCTGACTGGCAGAGACTTATGCAACACTACAGTGAAAACTTCTTGGTTAAATATCTCTGTTTCTACATACATGAAAGCACTGTGGGATTACATCTGACAACATTTATGTGCATATTTATTACATCTCTGTGTTACTGAATCTATTCAGAATCATGGTGTCTTACAGTTAAAAAAACAATACATTGGTGAAAGGAAAGGGGGAATTTCAACTCCTAGAATTCATTGTTACATTTGTTCAATTTACATTTCGTGTTTTTAAATAATTAGTTGTTTCTAAGGACAGTTAAAAGACTTGTCTTAGATTGAAAAGAATGGAAAAGATGTATGGCCATCCAAGTCCATATATTTTAGGCCCTTCCCTTTATCCTTATGCAACTTTCAACTAGTTAAAGTCAAATCTGTCCAAAATTATGCATTTTCTACTGTAATCTGTAACTCTAAAACCTCAAAATGTATTATCTATTCCAGGTACCATCAACAAAGGCCAATTCATTCATCAACTACTTTTGTCTCTAAAGGGAATCTAAATTTATCTGACACATAAAAATCCATCTATATCAAGCTGAATATTGAGACCTCTTATCTGCTTAAAATGCTTAAATAAATAAAAAGACATGGATCATGCTGAACCATTAATACTTGTTACAAGATTAGTTCAATAGCAATTTTGTACTTTTGAATTAATTGCATCCTATTCCTGTAATCACACGTTGGCTCTCATCAATTCCCATTCACAGAACATTGCATTTGTTCCATGAAAGGAAATCTGTATTGATTTCAACATCCAAAGACCAGACAAGTTCCTCAAATCACCTCGAAAGGATGAAAAGGAAGGGAAGGGAAGGGAAGGGAAGGGAAAGGAAGGAAGAGGATATGAATTGCACTTATTCTGCCTCAGGCAACACATTATTTACAGTTCACCTCCCATGAGTGATCATTACAAGTAAAATAGAGGAAAATTACAACCATTAGCTTTGTGTCTCAGGACAATTAGATAAATAAGTAAAAAAGATTCTGTAAGTAATGAAAATGTCATGCATGCCACTCTGGTATATTTGGCACACAAACCTACAACAGCAACAAAACAAGCTTTAACATAACTCTAACAAATTCATCTACCCTTAATTATGTTACCTGAATTTTCACAGGCCATTGGAAATACTAATAATGAATTTTGTATTTTTACTTGGGAAAGGGCATCTTCTGAATAGCAAATAACACTGAAACTTGATATACTCAAAGCACATGACCTGTGAAACCATAGTATAGATTTCTCAGTAACCATTCCCAGAATTAGGCAGTGGGAGGGCAAGTAGGCATTAATGCAGGCAACCCTCCTGGATGGAACTTTTCCAGTTCTGAAATTTAGTGCCTCACAATCCATTAGCTTAGTACTCTTGAGCAGTATTGGAGCTTTAACTTGTCCAAAGATGTTCTAACATTTTATCTATAAATAAGCATGCTTTGGTGATCAAAGCAACTCACCAAATACTATAAACTCTGATCAGAAGTAGAATTGTGGGTTACTTGCAGGTAATTAGAAAAAAAGATCAAATCATAATTCGTATATTATAGTTGTTCAGAGAACTTCCACATCAAATTGAAAAACTGGTTCAAATTGAAATGATAAAAACACTAGATTCCCATTCTCCATTAAGACAACCAAAATATGCTTCAAGAGATGTTTCACTATATGCAAAATAGAAATACAATTCACTTTACATAAACAGTACCTACTATCCATCAACTCATAAGGAGATAAAGTACTTTTACATAAAATAGTGACTATTTTCCTTTCTGCACTTTTCAGAATTAGAGTTCATGCATAACCATCTTAACTCATGTCTTTATCACACCCCTTTAGCAAACCAATCATTTGATTAGTACCAAGAGATACTTGAAGAACTTTAAATAGCTAAGGGGTAACCTGATCATCATTACAGAGACACTGTTCATCCCAGTGCCAAATTATTATATTCTATCACAGTGATCTTTGCCCAGGATTGTCTCCATTAAGAATAAAATTGTATATATATATCATAACACCAGGTACGCTGGCTTCATGGAGCTGCTGAATAGAGCTGTAGGAGCAGAAAATGTAGCTGTAAGCATGCGTGAAAAAAAAATAACTACCAGAATTTAATAATTTATACTTGTATAGCCCAATCTACTTTTCCTAAGAAAAAATACTTCATGTTAGTTTAAAATCTTCTTGATAGTCTAGACCCATCTTTCCCTGAGGGTCACCCAGAAAAGAAACTTCCTTCAACAACTTGTTCAAAGGCTGAACTATTCAAAAGATTTCTTTTCTGACTCCTAACGTAGGTCTTAGACATAGGATGGGTTGCCCCTGGTTTGCACCAGTTCTATAGAACTGGTAGTAAAACTGGTGGGAGGCTCCACCTACTGACCCCAACGTCATCAGAACGCTTCTGTGCATGCGCAGAAGAGCGCACAGCCCCGTTGAGAACCGGTAGTAAAAGTAAGTAGAACCCACCCCTGTCTTAGACCTCAAAAACTTATTAGTTAATATATTGCAATATTATTCGTAACTTTTATACAGGCTTTTTGACAACAGGTTGTCAGGGCAGTCCACAAGTATAAAATAAAGTAGCACCATAAATGAAATAAGTTTAAAATCAAAATCTGTTTCATACAATGGCTACAGACAGATCACCTAAACACAGAGGTTTTCAGTTCGAAATGCTAATCTGAAGCACACACACATTGTGGTCAAAATGACTTTACGAAAAGCACTGCTCAACTGCTTTAGGCAGAGACATTCCATTTTATGATGTTTCAAGCAAAAAAGCCTTATTTTTCATTGCTATCAATCTCACTTCACTGGAAGGTGGGGAAAACTGGAGTAAAACCCTTGAAATGAATCTCAAGGATACATTGAACCCTGATCTCAAGCTATAAAAGATATCCTCTATTTGTTTAGAATTTCTTACTCAAATTCTATGTCTGACAGATGGTTGAAATACAGGTAATCTTCAATTTACAATTCATTTAGTGACCGTTCAAACTTACAATAGCACTAAAAGAAGTGACTGTTTTTTCACACTTATGACTGTTGCAGCATCCCCCTGGTCACATGATCAAAATTCAAACACTTAGCAACGGACTCATATTTATGTCAGCTGCAGTGTCCTGGGTACATGTGATCGATCACCTTTTGCTAGCTTCTGACGAGCAAAGTCAATGGGAAAGCCAGATTCACTTAACGGTGTTACTAAATTAACGGATTCACCTAACAATTGTGGGAAGAAAGGTTGTAAAATGGGACAAAACTCACATAACAAATGTCTCAGTCAGCAATAAAAATGTTGGCCTCAATTGTGGTCGTAGTCCCAGGACTACCTGTAAAAGCATTTTGAGGTAAAAGAACAGACAACAGCAATCTATTTAATTTTTAAAAAATTAAAACTGATATTATCAATGGATAAAATTTAAAAGTGATATATCATTGGCTAGAAGCACTTTTTTCCCCTGAACATAATATTTAATGCTGGCTCAGTTGAATAGATGTTGTAACAGAAGGAAATGTTATAACTGCCTAAGAAATAACTGTTACTCCTTGGACATAACACTTAAAACGAAGATCACTTGACGACAGTATGCCACTGACTATTCCCTATAAAAGCCATATTAGATTCTGCAAATCTGAAGATCTACTCCTGAATAAAGGAAACAAACAGGATATAATCCTGAACTTTAATATGGCCCAACCACAAATTCTTATCGCCTAGTACCGTGATGGCGAACCTATGGCACGCGTGCCACAGGTGGCACATGGAGCCATATCGGTGGGCACACGAACTCAGCTCCGGCGCACATGCGTGTGTCAGCCGCCTGGTTTTCAGGCCTTCTGGGCCCACCAGAAGTTGGGAAACAGGTTGTTTCCGGCCTCCGGAGGGCCTTTAGTGGGGTGGGGAAGGCCCATTTTTCATTCTCTCCAGGCTCCTGGAGCCTGGGGAGAGCGAAAAATGGACTTTCCAGTCTCACAGGAAGTTGGCAAATGGGCCGTTTCCGGCCTCCGGAGGACCTCTGGGGGGGGGGGGGAGAGGCTGTTTTCGCCCTCCCCAGGCTTCTAAAAAACCTCTGGAGCCTGGGGAGGGTGAAAAACAAACCTACTGGGCCCACTGTGCCATTGTGTGCCAAAAGCAGGGGGATCATGCGCAAATGTTCGGGGGTGGGGGCATTAGAATTATGGGTGTGGGCACGTGCGCACGTGACTTCCCCCCGATTTTGGCACGCGATGGCAAAAATGCCATCACGTGCCATCAATGGCCTAGTAATTCAGAAGACAGTGACACTTGATAGTGACACTGGAATCCTATAAATTCAGTTACTTCATTTGAAAAATGGGTTACTTTCACATGTCAGCTAGGATTTCAACTAGTCTGCTGGAAGCCTCAATTCAGCTTGCCTTAATATTTATTGTACAGAAGGAGAAACCTGAATCTGGGCACAGCCAAATCAGGATTTAACACTGCAAAAACTTTAGGATGCTTCTGAATTCTCAGCTAGATGATGTTTTTTGGCCATCTAGTAGTTGCTCTGATTTGTCAACACTTAAATCATTATCAGTTTTGATCACTGGCTACTTAATTAGAAATCACTGCAATTAGAATCATCTCAGATGGATAATGTTGAAGATTCAGAGAAAGTACTAAAAATGTTATGGTGACTTAGAACATTTTTATTCTATTTAAAATGAGTTTTGAGGAGAATCCTGAAAATATTTTAAAATATTTTTTGATAACAAGCGATAGAACCATATTGGAATTGTTTAAAACTGAGAATTATAAGAAGGATCTTGAATGAATAGGAGAATAGAGAATGAATAGAGTATCATTCAGGAACAGGGGCGGGTTTCAAAACTCGTTGCTACCGGTTCACTCGTGGGTGCTTGCACAACACTTCTGCTCAGAAGCTTCCGGGTGGGTGGGCGGAGCCTCCTGCCGCCGCTACTGGTTTGCCCGATCTGGGGTGAACTGGTAGCAACCCACCACTGTTCAGGAACTGCAAATATTCTTTCCCCCTTAATTTTTAAGGTGAGATTCTTATTTAAGAATCAATTAAGAAATAACAGCCATATGTCTGACTCCAGAATGTGCAATTTACTAACTAAAAAGGAAACTTTTAAGACTTCTAGGGACACATAAGTACTTGTTTAGTTTTTAATTTATACAAGGAGTGGGATTAAGTCACTTGCAGTAGATTTACAGACTCATAAGAATCTCACACCATACTTTGTGAAAGAGTTCAGTCTTACCTGTACAATATCCAGCACCATCCCAGCAGCTACTGTTCCAAACCCTGCCAGCAGGAATGGAAAAAGGACTTGTAGACCAATAGAAAAAGAAGTCTCTTTGAGAGGAGAGGTTGGTTCTGGACCCCGATCTGTACTAGTATCATCACTTTCAGTAGCTTGACTTCCATTTTCCAACAGGGCATCCTCTTCACGCACCCCTTTTGCATTGGCTCGGGATTCTATCACCACCACTTCCATGCCTCCTCCTCCTTCTGGTTCTAAAAAATCAGAAGACTCAACGAGATGTTCTCGGTCAGGACTGGATAGACAGTCTATAGGTCCAGCCACAATGGGTAGCACCACTCCATTGGCATGATGAGCCTCTTTTAGTTCCATCTTAGATGTTATGTTGCACAATTATGTAGTTCTTCTTTATGTAGCACTGAAGGCAACTGTTAGGACAACAGACTTCTGTTTGGGGGTTAAGCTGATATGGCTTTTGGCACATAGAAGCCAAGTCCCCCAACTCTAGTATTCTGTCCTTAATTGAAAGATTGGCACCCCTAAGAAAAACCCCCATCAAGCACAATTCAGAACTGGAGTTGCCAGACACAGAGCCAGTAGAAAAACTATAATAGTTTCAAATCAAATCCAATCCACTCCGGTTCACCTTTCTTGTAATTTAACCACCAGCAAGGAATATCCAGCACACTTAAAACACAATATAAAACACCCAGATTATTGATTTCTTTGGTCTGCAATTTTCCAGAACATAATCCAAAGTGGTGTGCTGATTTCTGGTTCTGTTTCACCGTGACTGCTAGGAACAGTTCAGCTGCTCTTCAGAGTGGAGAAAAGAGATCCTTCAGTAAGGCACTTTGTATAATAGTCTTTAAAAATAGCATGAAATGAATTTGGATCCAAGCTTTTAAAAAAACAACAAGATTAATAGAATAAAATCTGAATTCAGCTTTGTAGTCGGTTTCTACAAATGAGACGTTTGAAGGGAAAAAAATCAAACTCTTATATTACCTCTTTTCTAGAATGGAGAATGCTAGTTCTGTCAGAGCTGACATGCTGCATCTAGGTGATTATGAAAGGCTTGGTTAACATCTTGCCAACTCCCAACTCCAAGTTCATGTTCTTGTAGGACAACTAGGTTATTGGTTGCCTGTAAGAAGAGCCGCCCTTTTCTCTGAAAGGATATCTTGCACTTTACAACCCACAGCAATTAAGATTTTTATTTAAAGCAGCATGAAGTCCCTGGATAGGCTTACACTGCAAGCTTGTCCAATGTTAGCAGTGATAAAGTATTTCATAGACTCTTCAAGGATCATACTGGTCTCACCTTAAATATAGAAAAATGGAAAAGACAATGTATTTTTCAACAACTGTAGAAAAACTGTTTCATTTTTTTCTTCCTTCCTGTGTATTAGCTTTAGTTTCCCTATGCTAGTAAAGAGCAAAAAACCTTATAAGCACACATATGGCAATATAATAGCAGCTGCAAAGGAAGAGAGTCATATGTTTCCACTGTCACCATCATATCTGCCCAGCCCTTATTTCTCTCTTTTATGTTAAATGTCATTTAAGATAGTCATAGATCAGAGTCACAGGACATATTGCATAAATATATTTCATGCAGAGGATGAGACTATTATAGTATTTGTTGTTAGTGACCTAGTATAACTTCAGCCAATGAATACTATTGAAGTTGTAGGTTAGCTGATAAGCTACATCTTTGGAGCATTTTGGGGACATGAAGGCAAACGGCTGACAGTTTTTCTCTGGAATAAGTATAGAAGTAGGGAAACTTACAGCAGAAACATGAATGTGTTAATGTATGTACATTACTGCCCTCTGCTGTGCTGTGTGTTTGATGCTTTTTACTCCAACAGCTAACAGTTGTGAACAAATTTCGCTTTAGAGCATAAGTTCCATGCTCTGTTTTCTGACTCTGATTACAAACACTCTAATCCATATTTTATTGAATTAACCCTATCTCATAAGCTCATGCAACACACTAAAACATAGATTGGCCACACTAGAAAGGTTGTACCCAAGCTTTACACTGCAATACTCAGCCACAAATTATCCAATCTCATTTCTGGCCAACATGCGCACATACCTGGCTATTACCTAAAAGATTTAACCCACCCCATTGTGTTTTGTGGCTTAGTATGCTGTATTAATTCATCCATAACAGTGACTAAATCATGATTAAGCTAATGTGACTTAGTGCACTATGTAAAAACAGCCAGAGTTTCATTATATCAAGAGGGCCAGGTAAGAGTTTCCTTGAGCTTTAGTTCCCCAATGTAGGTGCATTTCCTCAAATTCTTACACAATTTACTGAAGAAATTTAATGAGCTAGTTTTAGTCATGTACAAGGAATTCTACAGGTAACAAGTCACTTCAACACACCATATCTCAACATGTTTTTAACTGCTTTATACTAAATTCTAAAAGCAGTCATATTGTCATTAGGTAGGCAATTTTGTTATGTGATTTCTAGAATCATTCTGAATATTTTTTTAAACCCATTGAACATCAACCAGCCATATTGTCAAAGTTATGTAAGAGTATATGAGCTCCCACTGGTCCATGAGCATAATACTTTTGTATTAAATTTTGAAACTGCCAAGCTTCCTTATGTTCTATTTGCAGTTGGCATTATTGATTTATGAAACAAACAAGCAAAAAACCTGGAAACTTGCTATGCTAATATAAGCAACAAATAACATGTTTTTGAAAGAGAGCCTTCAAGAGACTTTAAATCCAAGGCTGAAAGTTCATGCATAAGGAATGAACACTGGGTAGAGACTTGCTCTCAGACAGCTATGTAATTATCCAACTTTATATTCAAAGAAAGTTGGAATGTGCTATCTTCACCTAGGCTTTTAAGTGAGGGAGAGTCAAACCTCTCACTTCATTGTGCTTGCCATCTTTTCTCTTAAATGTCTTTTATTTTACTATAATTGATTGTTGCAAGTCGCCCAGAGATTTGTAGCAAATGTACACATTTAATAAATTATTATGTATGAGTTAGGCAGCAGCTCCTTAATCACTGTTACATGAAATAAAGATAATCTAATATGCTACCATCAAGTTTCACAAATACTTTCTGAAAGTGATATCCTGTCTTATCTCAATGCATCTCCTTTCCTTCCTCTCTTAGTATCTTTTAGCAGATCACATCCGCTAAATCCGGGGATCCATCCACAGGCCCTTGATATTTGTGATGAGCTTACATCCTCCTTCAGAAAGTCAGATTTACTTCATGCATAATGTAGTTAGAAACATCCCTTAATGCTCTTTATGGCACTCTAATCCATACTGTCAGCATCCTATCCGGTAACCCAGAGAAAGATCCCAGTTACTCGAAACACACATCCCAACCTGCTTATCCTTCCCTTTCCCTCTGCCATCAACAAAACCTCCCCTTCCCCAAAGAACTGCACCCCTATAAGTGATACCCCCCACCTCCCAAAGACGTGAAGAGCCGTCTACTTTTATGGTGGCTCCATTTCTTTAACCAGCATCTACAGCCATTATCCAAAATAAATCAAGCTCCCTAGCTGGTCCCCCCCTCCCCCCGAAACACAAGTCCTGGGTGCAAAGCGAAGACGACGGAGGAAAAAGAGAAGCAAGCAGGAAGGCGGAAAAAAGCCCACCCCTGAATAGGTACCTACAATCCCCCCCACTACTCCATTCCCACTGCTTTATACTTTTAAAGCCTCTTCTGGAAACTGCACCTTTACTCTACCACTTACTACCTTGCCTTAGTTCCACTTGAGCAGCGAATGAGACCTACCTGCATCCCAATTCGGCTTCCCGATTCCACTTCTGGGTTCCGCTATCCAAGCTTCCCTCTCGCTCACCTCTCCCCTACAACCGCTGGCTTACAATTAAAGCTGGGACCGAGAAGCCGCTGCTGCGAGCTGAGCAAGAGGGGCGGGGGGAAGGGGGAAGAGAAGGCGGGTTAAATATAAACCCCACCCACACTCTGTGGAATTGACCTCACCCGCCTCCAATGCTCGTCCACCTGTTTACCGATTATTGGTTCTACACCGCTGACACGAACGACGATTCCGAACTCCTGGAGCGGATTGGTAGCAGTTCCAGCCAACCGCAGCAGGGGAGGAGGCGGGCTTTGCAGGACGCCTTCCCTTCTTGCCGTGAAGAGAGACGGAAAAAGGGCTGCGAGGCTTGGCGGAGTGGGAGCCAATCACGTGTTGGCTGCGAATGCCGCGGCGTTCCTTTCCTGGGGAGTTTCGACAGCTGTTCGGAATGGGGTGTGCGAGGAACTGGCGCTTTAGGGAAGAGCATTTGGGCGGCAGGCAATAGGTGGGGAAGGAGAGCGAAAAGCACTTGTCAATAGGAGGTGGCGGAATAAAACAACTACTGCTTTAGAGCGTAAGAGGGAGAGTAACCTTTTAGAACAGCACAGAATAACAGAGTTGGAAGGGATCTTTGTAGGTCATCTAGTCCAACCCCCCCCAAAGCAGGAGACCCTACACCATTTCTGACAGATGGCAGTCCAGTCTCTTCTTGAACGTCTCCAGTGATGAAGCTCCCACAACTTCTGAAGGCAACTTCTGTTCCATTGGTTGATTGCTCTCCCTGTCAGAAAATTTCTCCTTATTTCCAGGTTGAATCTCTCCTTGTTCAGTTTCCATCCATTATTCCTTGTCTGGCCTTCAGGTGCCTTGGAAAACAGCTTGACCCCCTCCTCTCTGTGGTGGCCCCTCAAATATTGGAAGACTGCTATCATGTCTCCCCTGGTCCTTCTCTTCACTAGACTAGCCATGCCCAGTTCCTGAAACTGTTCTTCATATGTTTTTGCTTCCAGTCCCCTAATCATCCTGGTTGCTCTCCTCTGCTCTCCTCTAGTCTCAACATCTTTTTTATAGTATGGTGACCAAAACTGGATGCAGTATTCTAGGTGTGGTCTTACTAAGGCTTTATAAAGTCTGGGTGTTGTGCCTTGTGATTCTTGACAAGTGTATCTTGTCTTTTTAGGTACACTGAGAGCATATGCACCAAAGACAAATTCCTTGTGTGTCCAAGGAATAACACACTTGGCCAATAAAGGATTCTATTCTATTCTATTCTATTCTATTCTATTCTATTCTATTCTATTCTATTCTATTCTATTCTATTCTATTCTATTCTATTCTATTCTATTGTGGTATTAGTACCTCATGTGATCTTGATTTAATCCCTCTGTTAATGCCATTTAGGATTGCATTGGTTTTTTCACTTACCTAAAGTGAACATCCCTGAAACTGGAAAACTAGCTCTTTAGGTAGATGGGCTTTGTTCCCAGATAGACTAGTTTTCTGTTCCCCAAAAAGGGAGTGTTTACATCTCTCAGCGGGTTTGTATTTTTCAATGGGTAGCTGCACTTGGCAGACCTTATTAGGGCCCAAAAGCAGGCAGGGTGGCACCGTGTTAAGACTTGGATAGTAGACCACCAGGTAATTCCAGGGTTGTAAATTACTTTGGAAAAAAATCATTAGGGAAAAAAGCAATGGCAAAGAGCTCCTGCCAAAAAAACATCAAGATGTGGCTAGTAACTGGTCTTTCTGTTTATGTTTGCAATCACTATAAAATGATCCGTTGTACCTTGAAGTAGAATGGTCCAGTGTGCAAATGCTTCTGTCATGTTGTAGCACATATACAACCAATCCTGGAAAATTAAAAAAAAAGAAAGGAATTAACTGGTAAAGGTACAGATTTCCATTTATTTCAAGGTGAAGGACTTCCAAGAATGCTTAAAAATATAACCTGAGAGCATCAATTAAATGACTTATGGAAAACCTTTCAAAACATCCATCCCTGGTTTTCTTTAATAACTAGCTTCATTCACCCTACATATGCTAGAAGAAAGAAGTACTAAACTCCTAGAGCTAAAGAAATACTGTTACCTTTATACAGTATTATTTTACGTATCCATAGGGCATCTGGGCATTGCAAACATATTTTTAGATCAAACCTGATAGAGGAATTAGCTTACCCCATTTCCCCCTTCTTCCCCTCCCCTTAAAATAGCATATTCTTTTCAAAGTAAAAATACAGTAGATAAAGAAAGATGATATCTTACCAGTTATTACCAGAATTGTAAAATACTAAGGAATCATTGGAAGCCTGTCTAATAAAGATATGAAGATGTGTTTTTAAAGCTAAAGGAACATAAAGCTGTTCCTTATTTGCACAGTTATGATACAGGTAGTCCCTGACTTGCGACCACAATTGAGCTCAAAATTTCTGTTGCTAAACAAGATAGTTGTTAAATGAGTTTTGCCCTGTTTTATGACCTTTCTGGCCATAGTTGTTAAATGAATCACTACGGTGGTTAAGTTAGTACCATGGTTGTTAAGTGAATCTGGCTTTCCCATTTACTTTGACCCAAGGGCACTGCAACTGTCATAAATTCATGCCAATTGCCAACTGTCTAAATTTTGATCATGTGACCATGGGGATGATGCAACAGTCACAAATGTGAAAAACAGTCATAAGTTATTTTATTCAGTGCCGTTGTAACTTCAATCACTAAGCGAATGTTTGTAAGTCGAAGACTACCTGTACTATTTTTCAGTGACTTTGGAAAGCAACAATGATGCTACCTAAAGCTTGTTTTGATTACATTTCTTGTTAGATGAAATTAATGCAAGGTCCCATATTAGGTTTTCAGCCAAACCATTTTCCTGACTCCTGTAAGACTGTGCCTTAACTAGGACATGTGTATCTTACTGTTATGTCTACTTACTTGGAAGTAAGTCACATTTCTCTTATGTTAGCATACTTAAAGGTTACATTTTAAGGTGTTTTGGCATAACATGCTAAATTGTGGTAATGATTTACTGAAATAATCCAATTATTTTCATCTGCCTCATCTACTGAATCATAACTAATTGGACTGGCTTGGTTTGTCCCCTCTTTTGTTTGCATTGGATGGTATTATTTTGATCTTGTGTTCTGCCCAGAGACACAGTAATTTAGGGATCTACAGAGCATTTCTTTTAAAAATAAATAGCAGGTCGAGCCACAGACTAGCCAACCTCCTTTTAGTTAGCTTGTGCAAACCCAGCCTATGGCTTTGTCTGCATGGAAGAGCTGCATTGAGATTAATATTTTCTCCTTATGTCTGCATAATACAGGGCTTGGAAAGTTGGTTCCTGTTCAAAAAGAAATTCTACCAATGCTGTTTGCAGCATTTACTCTGGAGCTGTAGAGTGAATATTTTCCCTCTATGTGGAACTTCCAATCATATCCCAGTGGTTGGATTTCCCCTTTCCTTTCTGTAATCAAAATGGCTTGCAACCATCTCCTTAAACCAATATTTCACAGACTTAGCAATTTTAAGCTGTCTTGACTTCAATTCCCAGAATTCTATAGCCAGAGGTCCACACATCTTAAAGTTGCCATGGTTGAGAAACACTGTTCTAGACAGTCGATGTGCAGCTTTGTCATTTCCCTCAAATAGTGACCAGCTGTGGATTTTATATACCGTATATTAGTTTTGCAAACATAATAAAATATGGAGGTGAGTGCCCCTAGCTGCCATCTTTTGTCCTCCCATTTGCAACTGTAAACAGTAGAACACACCAGTAAATGGAATGCACCAATAGAGACCCCTATTGCAAGGCAAAATTAGTTCTAGGTTTTTTGAGTATGAGTACTCTCAGATAAAATTTCTGAAACTAGAGGCTCAGAGAGACATAAATGCTTCCATGACTAAATCATCATCTTCTATTTTAATATGAAATGCTTATTTCCAGATACATTTTTGTAAAAGTTAGAATTAAAAATTTAGTTTTTTTGAGTTTGAGAACAACTCAGGAAAAGGGAACATTGACTACCATACAGTAAATATATGTTATTCATGCCAAGGGAGAATATGATTCTTATGATTCTTGACGAATGTATCTTTTATGTACACCAAGAGCGTATGCACCAAGATAAATTCCTTGTGTGTCCAATCACACGGCCAATAAAGAATTCTATTCTATTCTATTCTATTCTATTCTATTCTATTCTATTCTATTCTATTCTATTCTATTCTATTCTATTCCATTCCATTCCATTCCATTCCATTCCATTCCACTCCACTCCACTCCACTCCACTCCACTCTATGGTTTACAGATGACATGCTAAGTCCCAAACAAACCACATGGTGGCTTAGAAGAGCATGGGTCTCTCTTGGGAGTTTAAGCATAGTTACCTTATTTCAGCCTTTCCTCTATCCAACCACGTATTTTTGGTTATGAGTAAAATATATTTACTAAGATTGAACCCAAACTTTTGAAACAGTTGAAAGCTCTAAGCTTTATATTGCTGGATTAATATCTTTGGTTTCCTTATCTGCAAGTTCAGTATATGAGATAAGCCCAGTTCGCTCTGATCTGAGAACATGCAAACATAGAATTATCCCATCATGACATTTTCACATGGTCTTATGCTATGTAAGATAACCCACCATTGTGAATTCAGTTGTTCCCTCAGTGGGGATTAAAGCCACAGCTGAGATTAAAGTGTCCTCATATCCTGTGTAATGGGGCTAGATTCCTATGCAGCTGCTGTTGTTCAACTGACAAAATACCCACCTGTCAAATAAAAATTCAGGCTTTCCCCTCCAATTATATTCATTGAGAATATCTTGATATAATAAAATACAAAAATCATGTTCATTTTCTTTTGATTTCATTTAATGGGACTGCTTCTCTTTTTAATATTATGGGTACAATTCTAATATGAGTCTGGTGAGAAATCAGTCCCACTTAGTTAATTTAGACTTGCTGTAGCGTTAACTGAGATAAATATCAACCTAATGAATCAGAATTATATATGAGGAAATAAGCATAGGATTGATTATTACAGATTGACGCTTCTAGTGCACTGCTGCAGAATGCAGGGAGTGTCTATTAATTTTATTCAGAAGAAAAATA